CCATAAACTATCCTGTTATCCCATCAACCCCTTTAACCCCCATCCCTATCAATTTATAGACTCTATATTACAACCAACCCAACATATCCCCCCAGGTTAAACGAGGATAACAAAACAAGATGTCATTTTGTTATTGCAATAACTCTGGATCCCATGGACATCATACCTATCCCTTATTATCCTACCCATAACCTTTAAAAAAACCCCCCTCTTCCTCCCTATTTTTTAAAAATGAAAAGTGGTTTTAATAATTATTGCTATGTACGTTACAATAATTCGTTACTATCCTCAAATTAAAAATTTTTGATTTCAAATATATTGCCAAACGGAAAAATAAAATATCCCCAAACAAATTGACACATAACCTCAAACTAACTTTCACAACTCCATGACGCTTCAATTATCTAAAATGTTTTAATCTTTCATAATCACAACTTAAAGGAATCATTTACATGATCTAACGGTAGGAACAAGTGAGGAATTGCCAAATGAATGAATCTAATGTATATTTTGTAAGGAATTGACGTAAGTTTTATTATTGTATTAATTTAAGAATCCACTTAATTTAGCACGTTAATCCGAGATTTATTTAAGAAAATTTGTATTTATGTAGGATAACTCCTGAAGATGCTTTATAAACACAGTGAAACCGGTTGAGTGAAAATTAAAAATAAAAATCCATTAAAGTGCAAAAACCGAAGTTTAATTTATCTTGAATTTATTTTAAATCGAAAGATTGGGAGCTATTCATGCTCCTACACGTAAAATCCCAGAAACGTACAAAACCTAAAAATTTCTAACGGTCTAGTTGCGCGGAATTTCATGTACAAGAAAAAGGTCTGCTCTCACATATAGAAGATCATAATTTTTGGTAATTTCTCCGCAGATTCTCATTCTGCGTACCTTGTTGTCGTCTAAAAAGAGCAAACTTTACGTAGAAGGTAAAAAAGAATTTTTCTGCGACCCTCCACGGATATTGAATGAATTTTTGGTTCACATTTTGTCTAAAAAAAATCTTTTTTTTTACATATTATGGACCATTGTTTTAAAACTACCAAACCGATTGGAAAAAGTATTAATAACATTTATTGGCTATACAATACTCTTTAATTTGATGAATAGCACGACCAGATCGAAATATGCTGCAAATAGTCAACTTAACCCGTAAAAAAAAATAAATCATAGCTCCAAAACGTATCCATAGAAAAAATTTTAAATGTGATTTTTGGGTTTAGGGAACCAAACTACATAAGAAAAATACTGTTTGTAGACTTAATAAGTAAGATATCTATTTAGAGATGAGATATCTGTTTCACTAAAAATGCTTCGAAGATTTTTTCTACATGAATAGCGGTTGTCGTCGTCGTCTGACGTGTGAAAGCTCACCAAGCAGGAAGCTTTTGTTTACTAGGTTGATGTGCTATCGCGTTACGGAAGCTGCTTCTACGTCCGGACTGCATTCCAGTACCACACAAAGAGAGCCTTAGAAATCGTATCATGTTGCGCTATTCTGTGTAGAAGCGACGATGTTGACGCTCTAAACGCCCGAATGGTGGCGATCGGAATTAGATTTGAGGTTGCCTGGTACGTTACGTCGAAATAACACTGTCCTCCTTTCTAATCAACAGCTACAAGATCGAGGGAACGATGAAAGAGCTTTTGTACCGGAAGAGTTATCTTTGTCCCACCAGGATTTAACGTTCAGAGAGGAAACGCTGAATTGGTTCGTGTTTATCTTTGATGGAAATGGTGAACGAAATGAAATCTTTTTCATTTCGTTTTGAATGGTTAGATTGAGAAATGATGAAAATGTATTATCGAAATGACTTTTGCGATTATGATAATTTACCGCAATTGAGTGCTATATTGTTCACGGTACTAATCTTTGTCTAAGCCCAAACGCTTAACGAGTAATGGGTCTAGAGGGCTTTCCGAACAGGTAATTGGCCTCAATCGAACGGATCGGGATTGCCCTATTATTGGCCTGCAGATCCACATTCAACACGAAGTTTAACGTAATAGCTGTAGGGAGGTATATCTGTTTATCAACTGCTTAGGTAACATGGATTATTCATCGCCCCGGAACATAAATCCTTAATTACTACAAGAATCGATAGTTTGATCGACAGTTATTATCTAATAACATTTTATTTTATAAATAATAAAATTTAAAAAGTCATTTTATTTAGGCAATAAATAAGATCTTAACAAAATAAATCACATCAATGGTAATAAGTGACTGGAGCGGCTACTTTGGTGTAAGCTGCTTTAGCTACAACTGGGGCTGCAACTTTAGCAACAACAGCTAAAGGTTCTTTGCGTACAACTGCGTTAAATCCGTGAATGGGGTCAGCGGTGTAATCAACGGTTCTTCTTGTACCATCTGGATCGGTTAAAGAATAAGATCCTTGGACGACATCTCCATTACGAGTTTCACTTTGGCTTTTTGAATCTCCTGTAAGTCCATCTTGGACATCGTATCCAAATGAGTATTGTGGGTTGGGGTCGTATTCTTCATTAACGATCGTTTTAGCAACAGGTACAGCTTGGGTTTTAACAATTGGGGCTGTATATGCAACTGGAGCAATCGTTTTAGCATATGCTACATTAGTAATCGCAGGGGCAGCATAAGTATGAACAGCAGGTGATGTATAAGCTAAAGGTGCAGAAGCATAAGAGCTAATAACTCCAGCTCTAGCATAAGCCAAGATTGCGGCAAAAACAAAAACCTATAAGAAAATAAATAATTAGTGTAAATTAAAATTAGAAAGGTGTTTAACTCTTACTTTCATTGTTATTCTTGTTGGTGTCTGTACGAAATCGAAACGAGTTGTGATTCGAAATTTGAACAGGCGGACTTTTTATACCGAAAAAATGTTGTAACGAAAGAGACGGTAATCTGGATCTACCGGCTTCACCACGCCCCACGTTGAACTTCTTTCTGTTCAAGGAATTTTAAGAACGACCTTGATAAGGTTACGTCGATCGTCCGATCTTTTTTGTAACTAATTGGAGGATTTGGGAATGTAAAGAAATGTGACCCACATTTTATCACTTAAAATTATTCAATCCACAAATTGGATTGACGCAATAGATTATTCGAATCCATTAAAGTAAACTCATGTATATTTTTTAATTATATCAAAAACAATACAATCCCAAAATAACCCAACCTAATTTATTGTATTTTAACGTTGATATTTGAGTTGCTATGAAAATTTAACCCAACCACAAAGCAACCCAATCCAAGTGCTAAGCAAGCTAATCCAAACATATTATACTATATATAGATATATAGTATCTCAACCATAAAGCAATCCAACTCCAAAGCAATTCTTTGAACACTTGCTTTGTGGTCTGGTTTCTGGGAAAACAATCAACTAAAAAAAGTTCTCTTTTTTAAAAAATCTGCTCTAGCCCAGAAACTAATCCAACACCAGAGTTACTCAAGTCTTAAACAATCCCAAAAACACCTAAAGAACGTAACCACAAAGTATTTCAATCCAACTCCAAACGATGTTAACCACAAAGCATCTTAGGTTGCTTTACAATTCCAGTAGTGTAGAAACGCCAGTTCTGTAGCTCCCTGTGCTGTCAACCGCTGCATTCGAAAGACCTGATTCACTCAGTTCGTTTTTAACCGCTGATTAAGCTGATGAAGAAGCAATCATAGAAGTTACTACGTTAGCATCACCTTCAGCTGCAACCTTAGAAGTTACTACTACACTACATTAGCATCACCTCTTGATTGAAGACAGTTAGTATTGGTTTAGAACCTATGGAGGAAGATCCTAAAGATACTACATTACATTACATTACATTACATAGAATACATATCGGGTATGCGGACCAACCAACCTTGCACCGCGACCCTAAGGATCTATTGTACCCCGATAGATATCATTATCAAATTTCACCGTGCAGTCCAATGCTCTTAACGAACATTAATACCTTGCTCGGCGAAAGGTNTTAAAAATCCTAAGAAAGGAGAAACCTTCGTAAAACAAGATTAACCTACAACAACCATACCTGGAAGTATGACAGTTAGTATTGGTTTAGAACCTATGGAGGAAGATCCTAAAGATACTAAAGTAAGTTTTAAACTTAAAAATCCTAAGAAAGGAGAAACCTTCGTAAAACAAGATTAACCTACAACAACCATACCCGGAAGTATGATGATAGATGAATCTTCATCATCACCTTCAGCTGCAACCTTAGAAGTTACTACTACACTATATTAGCGTCATCTCCAGCTGATATTCGAAAGATAAACAATTTTCATTACCAACTGCTTCGATTGAAGACAGTTAGTATTGGTTCAGAACCTATGGAGGAAGATCCTAAAGATGCTAAAAGTAAATTTTAAACTTAAAAATCCTAAGAAAGGAGAAACCTTCGTAAAACAAGATCAACCTACAACAACCACACCTGGAAGCATGATGAATCTTCATAATCATCTTCAGTTGCAACATTACAAGTTACTACTACACTACATTAGCGTTACCTCTAGCTGATATTCGAAAGATAAGAAATTTTTATTGCCAACTACTTCGGTTGAAGACAGTTAGTATTGGTTCAGAACCTATGGAGGAAGATCCTAACAATACTAAAGAAAGTTTTAAATTTAAAAATCCTAAGAAAGGAGAAACCTTCGTAAAACAAGATCAACCTACAACAACCACACCTGGAAGTATGATGAATGATGAATCTTCAGTTGCAACATTACAAGTTACTACTACACTACATTAGCATTAACTTTAGCTGATATTCGAAAGATAAGAAATTTTTATTACCAACTACTTCGGTTGAAGACAGTTCGTATTTGTTCAGAACTTATGGAGGAAGATCCTAAAGATACTAAAGAAAGTTTTAAACTTAAAAATCCTAAGAAAGGAGGAACCTCCGTAAAACAAGATCAACCTACAACAACCACACCTGGAAGTATGATGAAAGATGAATCTTCGTCATCACCTTCAGTTACACCTTAGAAGTTATTACTACACTACATTAGCATCATCTCCAGCAGATATTCGAAAGATAAACAATTTTTATTACTAACTACTTCGGTCGAAGACAATTAGTATTAGTTCAGAACCTATGGAGGAAGATCCTAAAGATGCTAAAAGTTTTAAACTTAAAAATCCTAAGAAAGGAGAAACCTTCGCAAAACAAGATCAATCAACGACAACCACACCTGGAAGTATGATGAAAGATAAATCTTCATCATCACCTTCAGTTGCTACCTTAGAAGTAACTACTACACTACATTAGCATCATCTCCAGCTGATATTCGAAAGATAAACAATTTTTATTACCAACTACTTCGGTTGAAGACAGTTAGTATTGGTTCAGAACCTATGGAAGAAGATCCTAAAGATGCTAAAAGTTTTAAACTTAAAAATCCTAAGAAAGGAAAAACCTCCGTAAAACAAGATCAACCTACAACAACCACACCTGGAAGTATGATGAAAGATGAATCTTCATCATCACCTTCAGTTGCAACTTTAGAAGTTATTACTGCACTACATTAGCATCATCTCCAGCTGATATTCGAAAGATAAACAATTTTTATTATCAACTACTTCGATTGAAGACAGTTAGTATTGATTCGGAACCTATGGAGGAAGATCCTAAAGATGCTAAAAGTTTTAATCTTAAAAATCCTAAGAAAGGAAAAACCTCCGCAAAACAAGATCAACCTACAGCAACCACACCTGGAAGTATGATGAAAGATGAATCTTCATCATCACCTTCAGTTGCAACCTTAGAAGTTATTACTACACTACATTAGCATCATCTCCAGCTGATATTCGAAAGATAAACAATTTTTATTACCAACTACTTCGGTTGAAGACAGTTAGTGGTTCAGAACCTATGGAGGAAGATCCTCAAGATACTAAAGAAAGTTTTAAACTTAAAAATCCTAAGAAAGGAGAAACCTTCGTAAATCAAAAGATCAATCTACAACAACCACACCTGGAAGTATGATGAAAGATGAATCTTCATCATCACCTTCAGTTGCAACGTTAGAAGTTATTACTAGATTACATTAGCATCATCTCCAGCTGATATTCGAAAGATAAACAATCTTTATTACCAACTACTTTGTTTGAAGACAGTTGGTATTGGTTCAGAACCTATGGAGGAAGATCCTAAAGATACTAAAGTAAGTTTTAAACTTAACAATCCTAAGAAAAGAGAAACCCCCGTAAAACAAGATCAACCTAAAACAACCACACCTGGAAGTATGATGAACGATGAATCTTCATCATCACCTTCAGTTGTAACCTTAGAAGTTACTGCTACATTACATTAGCATCACCTCTAGCTGATATTCGAAAGATAAACAATTTTTATTACCAACTACTTCGGTTGATGACAATTAGTATTGGTTCAAAATCTATGGAGGAACATCCTAAAGATGCTAAAACTAAGTTTTAAACTTAAAAATCCTAAGAAAGGAGGAACCGTCGTAAAACAAGATCAACGTACAACAACCACACCTGGAAGTATGATGAAAGATTCGATCATCAGTGGTTCAGTGTCTTTAATATATTTAAATATAAGAGGGTTGATGTTAAAAAATAGAAGAAAAGAAATTGTTATTGTTTTAAATAAATGTATTATTATTTTTATTTATTAAATTTGTTTTATTTATATCATTCATTAAAGTTTATCATCTCATAAACGCGCCGTCAACTATCAGTCATACCAACATATCCCCCATTTGGTACCAACCCAAAACACAAATCGCCAGAAATCACTAGGATTTTGGCCGCCATCTTGCTGTTTCAACCAATCGAGTTTAGTTCCACTAGGTAGCGCGATTTTTTTTTAAATTTTTTAGTCACTTAAAAAAAAGTCACCACATCTAGTTGCTTTTCCAATACCAACCTAATCTTTTTCCCCAGGTTTAGGTTGGCACCGCTCCCTATACTTATAAATTACATTGGAGCGTGGCGTCACAAAGGGAGCAACTTCCACTGCAGAACCGGCGTTTCTACACTACTAATTCCAAAGTANACAACAACCATACCTGGAAGTATGACAGTTAGTATTGGTTTAGAACCTATGGAGGAAGATCCTAAAGATACTAAAGTAAGTTTTAAACTTAAAAATCCTAAGAAAGGAGAAACCTTCGTAAAACAAGATTAACCTACAACAACCATACCTGGAAGTATGATGATAGATGAATCTTCATCATCACCTTCAGCTGCAACCTTAGAAGTTACTACTACACTACATTAGCATCATCTCCAGCTGATATTCGAAAAAAAAACAATTTTTATTACCAACTACTTTGGTTGAAGACAGTTAGTATTGGTTCAGAACCTATGGAGGAAGATCCTAAAGATGCTAAAAGTAAATTTTCAACTTAAAAGTTCTAAGAAAGGAGAAACCTTCGTAAAACAAGATCAACCTCAAACAACCACACCTGGAAGTATGATGAAAGATGAATCTTCATCATCACCTTCAGTTGCAACCTTAGAAGTTACTACTACACTATATTAGCATCCTCTCCAGCTGATATTCGAAAGATAAACAATTTTGATTACTAACTACTTCGGTTGATGACAATTAGTATTGGTTCAAAATCTATTTAGGAACATCCTAAAGATGCTAAAAGTAAGTTTTAAACTTAAAAATCCTAAGAAAGGAGGAACCTCCGTAAAACAAGATCAACCTACAACAACCACACCTGGAAGTATGATGAGAGATTCGATCATCAGTGGTTCAGTGTCTTTAATATGTTTAAATATAAGAGGGTTGATGTTAAAAAATAGAAGAAAAGAAATTGTTATTGTTTTAAATAAATATATTATTATTTTTATTTATTAAATTTGTTTTATTTATATCATTCATTAAAGTTTATCATCTCATAGAGGGGGCGCCGTCACCATTGATAAGCGCATTATTAAATTCAAACGCGCCGGCAACTATCAGTCATATCAACATATCCCAAAACACAAATCACCAGAAATCACTGAGATTTTGGCCGCCATCTTGCTGTTTCAACCAATCGAGTTTAATTCCACTAATAGCGCGAATTTTTAAAATTTTTTTAGTTACTTTAAAAAAAAGTCACCAGATCTAGTTGCTTTTCCAATACCAACCTAATCTTTTTTCTCCAGGTTTAGGTTGGCACCGCTCCCTATACTTATAAATAACATTGGAGCGTGACGTCACAAAGGGAGCAACTTCCACTGCAGAACCGGCGTTTCTACACTACTAATTCCAAAGTAGTGTATCTTGTTGCTATTGATTTCTACAACCTTGCTAAAGTATTGGTAGTACTTTACAGTAGTTAAAACTAAACATTTTCAGTCATTTATTTTATCATTTTTATAACTTGTTGGGTTATAAGAATTATGATCTTGTTGATTTAATTTTTTTTTAATGTTCTTGTAACTTAAGTATAAAATTAACAGCTTGAAAACTCATTACGCCGTTATGACCGGCGTAAGATGACGTAGCCGTTGGCGTATCGCCGACCGTTGATGGCGGCTACAATTTCATTAAACCCATCCAACCTGTAGCAGCGTTTACTGCCATTCACGCAGTTTAATTTATCTCTTCGCCCGGGGGGCTGTATACGTCATGGGAGGGCCCTTGAACGGGGGGGTGGCGAGTTCATAAGGGCCCTCGGCCCTTTCGAAGTTTTACAGCAACCCTCAGGCGCGTTTCGGGACTTTTCATTAAGGAGGCTTCGTCCAACAGCGTCGGATATTGCAGGTGTCAGACGCTTTTCTCAACAATATCAAACCTTTATCAAACCTCGAAAACTACCCCAATACTGACCTATAAAAAAATAAATGAAAAAAAGAACCTTTCTAAAATTTCAAGTTGTATTCAGACTTAATGAAATTTATAATTGGATTTTTTTCTTTCTAGATATTCAAGAATTCTATGAATTAACTCTTCTTGACGAAACCAAATCAGTTCAAGAGAAAACTGCTGAAACCATAAGGATCGCCAATAAATGGGAGACAAACGATGGGCCCATAGCTCCTGGATATCCAAACGATGTAAGTCAGATTATTTTCTATTAATAAATTTTATAAACCTTTGAATTATTATTAAACGTGAATTATACTACTGGGTTAATCGCCGATAGCAATTTACAACCGTTGTCTAGTCTGGTGCAAAATTTTATCGCTACGGTTTGACGGGACGGTGATTTATTATAATTGGGTCGCTAATAATGCTTGGGAAGTAGATTTTGAGGGCGTAAATATAATGATTTACGTAACGTGACGGCTCAATAATCTGTTCTGCTTTGATACTTACTAAATGATAGCAAATTGTTAAAATTATAATTAGAACTGAAATTATGATTATAATAATCAAAAATAAACAAAATGAACAAAATAGTATTTTACGAGCTTTTTGACTTTTCACGTCGGTTTAACATGTAAAGTAAATCGCTCGTGCGAAAAACATTACAGGACCACTCGTCGAGATTCAACTCTTTCGCACTCAGACGCGTTTACAGCTCGTTTTACGCTCCCGGAGGTTGCATTTCCCTGTCTTTCCGTTTCGTCGGAATTCCAACTCGGTCATATGCAATATTAAACTTTTACGACACGTCGTACCCCCAGTTTACAGCCGTGCGTCCTGTACAACCCCTCAGGTTCGCCATACAAAATTCAACAGACAGACGTTTGGGTTGCCTATACGTGCTTCTACTCGTCTGGTATTTCTTCAATAGATGGTACGGCATCTCCAATATCTCCTACAGCGTTCAATTGCATTTGGTGATTCACTCGATTTACTACTCCTGTTTTTTTTTTTATTTTTTTTTATTCGATTTGTTAGATGGGATTGAGACGAATTTTTATATGCATTTTTAGATCAAATTTAAGATGAACTTTGAAAGAAGCTTAGATGAATGTATCATTAAGATCTCAATAAATAATGTAAATGTTTTGATTTCTATCATTATCTTTATGTTATAAATACGATATCACAAAAACACAATTTGCTGCGATAACATAACTTTAATACATTTCGTATTTGTTTTAATATAATGTTTTAAGCATACAGGAATTGTATTTTCCAGTTTTTTATTGGTCCTTTTCTGGTTTAGCTTTGGCTTCTTTCTAAATTATTTCTGTTTTCTTTGTCGTATTTAAAAATTATGTACTTTCAGAGTGACCAAACACAAAGAGAGATGCTAAAAAAGGTGAAGCCAAGTGAATATGTCCACCTTTGCTGAAAAATTATGAACGCATTGACTACACTTACGTCGATAATGTGCCAGAGTATGAGTGGTCACCATTTTCTGCTCTTCCTATCTATTTCATAGGTTTTTTTCAGCATATCTGTTATTTCAACGAAACCCATGTATTGGTTATAGTGTTTCAAGACCATCGGACAAGGAACATTTTCTGTCTCGCTTCAGCTTGAAGTCCCCCGATATTCCTTTTCTTCCTTTCCTGATGGTTCTTGTGGCGTAGATCTTGTCTTTCTGCAACTGAATGTAAAGAAATTGTCAAAATAGACAAAATGCTGCTTTCCAACCAGCGACCTGGCCAAATCAGTAATAACCCGAGATCCTAATTGTTTTTCTGCGGTTTCACTAACTTTTCCTGTGTATATTTAGAAATTGTCGATCTAGCCACTTGCATCTTCTCGAGTCCTAACCTTATAGCTCCAGTTTATGGGCTTGTTAGGCATGTATTGTCGAATCATTCAATCTCGTGTAATTTATAGTAAAAATATATAGTTTGTCAAATATATAGTTTGCTCATTAGAATTGAAATGTTGGAATCTCTCAACACTGCCTGCGATGACCAGTAACCCCAGCTTGCAATTTTGCTATCAGACTAATAGATATCGAGAAAAATACGAAAATATGAAAATTTCTTGAATTCGTTGTTTTTTCAAATTATTGATGGCAGCTCTGGGGAATCTGAGCATGCTACAGAAAAACTTTTCGAACGAAAGTTGTAGCAAATTTTATTCTTAACAAAATTGCTCTCTTGCACCTTTGTTCTCATACCCATAGACATCGAGAAAAATACGAAAATATGAAAATTTCGTGAATTCGTTGTTTTTTCAAATTATTGATGGCAGCACTAGGGAATCTGAGCATGCTACAGAAAAACTTTTGGAATAAAAGTTGTAGCAAATTTTATTCTGAACAAAATTGCTGTCTTGCACCTTTCTTCTCATACACATAGACATCGAGAAAAATACGAAAATATGAAAATCTCATGAAATCGTTGTTTTTTTTAATTATTGATGGTAGCACTTGGGAATCTGAGCATGCTACAGAAAAACTTTTGGAATAAAAGTTGTAGCAAATTTTATTCTTAACAAAATTGCTCTCTTGCACCTTTCTTCTCATACGCATAGACCTCGAGAAAAATACGAAAATATGAAAATTTCATGAATTCGTTGTTTTTTCAAATTATTGATGGCAGCACTGGGGAATCTGAGCATGCTACAGAACAACTTTTGGAACGAATGTTGTAGCAAATTTTGTTCTTAACAAAATTGCTCTCTTGCACCTTTGTTCTCATACCCATAGACATCGAGAAAAATACGAAAATATGAAAATTTAGTGAATTCGTTGCTTTTCCAAATTATTGATGGCAGCACTGGGGAATCTGAGCATGCTAGAGAAAAACTTTTTGAAAGAAAGTTGTAACAAATTTTATTCTTAACAAAATTGCTGTCTTGTACGTTTGCTCTCAGACACATAGATATCAAAAAAAAATACGAAAATATGAAAATTTCATGAATTCGTTGTTTTTTCAAATTATTAATGGCAGCACTGGCGAATCTGAGCATGCTAGAAAAGAACTTTTCGAAAGAAAGTTGTAACAAATTTTATTCTTAACACAATTGCTCTCTTGTACGTTTGCTCTCAGACGCATAGGTATCAAAAAAAAATACGAAAATATAAAAATTTCATGAATTCGTTGTTTTTTCAAATTATTGATGGCAGCAATAATTATTATTAAGCCTTTTCACAACCATCAAAATATTTATAGGTAAAAATATTTTAATTTCTTTTGTAGTTGCAGGAAGAAACGTTTTCCCACTCTGAGTGGCGTAAAGGTTTGTTTGGAAGACAACATCTATAATATCTTCATCGATTGGGCATGAAAAATTTCGATTGGTGATTTAATTTCATCCGATATGTTCACATTTTCAGTAAAAGCACACTCTTGGTTGCTCATAATGACAGTTGGGGACTTTTTCCAAATAAATTTATTCTGTGTACAAAATGTGACAATGGGAGATCGTTATCATCATCCTCACTATTCGATAAATTTGGTGGGGAAGCCATAGTGACTTTTTCAGCGTAGTCCGTTTCAAGTAGCTATTGCACGATATTTCTTCTAATAGATCATAGAGAGTACAGTTTTAGGAGGGTTTTAAGCTTGTAAAATTGAAATATCGGGTATATACAGTATACCACTTAGCCCCAAAGGTATAATAAAAATCTTAAATTGATAGGTTAATTATTCATTTTTTGACTAGTATTAATTTAAAAAAAATCATATCTAATTTAATTTTTCCTCCAACAAAGTGATTATGATTTCAAAATAGAGCTCAAGTTCTCCTTTATAAGATGGTATATAATAAATAATGAGTTGAATTAGAAAATTTTTGAGAAAAATGAAATCTTAAAACGATGTGAGGTTAAATAAAAATTTCAAAACGAACTAAAACTTTAGGAAATCATATCTACTTTATTATGATGAATAATGAAGTGATTCTTATATCAAAATGAAGCTTATTCTTTCCTCTATAAGATGCTATATGATAAATAATGTGTTGAATTAGAAAATTTTCGAGTAAAAAAATCTTAAATTGATGTTAGATTAATTATTAATTTTTTGACAAGTGTTAATTAAAAAAAATCATATCTAATTTAATTTTTCCTCTAACAAAGTGATTATGATTTCAAAATAGAGCTCAAGTTCTCCTTTATAAGATGGTATATAATAAATAATGAGTTGAATTAGAAAATTTTTGAGAAAAATGAAATCTTAAAACGATGTGAGGTTAAATTAAAATTTCAAAACGAACTAAAACATTAGGAAATCATATCTACTTTATTATGATGAATAATGAAGTGATTCTTATATCAAAATGAAGCTTATTCTTTTCTCTATAAGATGCTATATGATAAATAATGTGTTGAATTAAAATATTTTTGAGTAAAAAAATCTTAAAGTGATGTTAGGTTAATTATTAATTTTTTGACTAGTGTTAATTAAAAAAATCATATCTAATTTAATTTTTCCTCCAACAAAGTGATTATGATTTCAAAATAGAGCTCAAGTTCTCCTTTATAAGATGGTATATAATAAATAATGAGTTGAATTAGAAAATTTTTGAGAAAAATGAAATCTTAAAACGATGTGAGGTTAAATAAAAATTTCGAAACAAACTAAAACTTTAAGAAATCATATCTTCTTTATTATGATGAGTAATGAAGTGATTCTTATATCAAAATGAAGCTTATTCTTTTCTCTATAAGATGCTATATGATAAATAATGTGTTGAATTAAAATATTTTTGAGTAAAAAAATCTTAAAGTGATGTTAGGTTAATTATTAATTTTTTGACTAGTGTTAATTAAAAAAATCATATCTAATTTAATTTTTCCTCCAACAAAGTGATTATGATTTCAAAATAGAGCTCAAGTTCTCCTTTACAAGATTATATATAATAAATAATGAGTTGAATTAGAAAATTTTTGAGAAAAATGAAATCTTAAAACGATGTGAGGTTAAATAAGAATTTCAAAACGAACTAAAATTTTAGTAAATCATATCTACTTTATTATGATGAATAATAAAGTGATTCTTATATCAAAATGAAGCTTATTCTTTCCTCTATAAGATGCTACATGATAAATAATGTGTTGAATTAGAAAATTTTCGAGTAAAAAAATCTTAAATTGATGTTACGTTAATTATAAATTTTTTGACTAGTGTTAATTAAAAAAAATCATATCTAATTTAATTTTTCCTCCAACAAACTGATTATGATTTCAAAATAAAGCTCAAGTTCTCCTTTATAAAATGGTATATAATAAATAATGAGTTGAATTAGAAAATTTTTGAGAAAAATGAAATCTTAAAACGATGTGAGGTTAAATAAAAATTTCGAAACAAACTAAAACTTTAAGAAATCATATCTTTTTATTATGATGAGTAATGAAGTGATTCTTATATCAAAATGAAGCTTATTCTTTCCTCTATAAGATGCTATATGATAAATAATGTGTTGAATTAAAATATTTTTGAGTAAAAAAATCTTAAAGTGATGTTAGGTTAATTATTAATTTTTTGACTAGTGTTAATTAAAAAAATCATATCTAATTTAATTTTTCCTCCAACAAAGTGATTTCAAAATAAAGCTCAAGTTCTCCTTTATAAAATGGTATATAATAAATAATGAGTTGAATTAGAAAATTTTTAGAGAAATGAAATCTTAAAGCGATGTGAGGTTAAATTAAAATTTCAAAACGAACTAAAACTTTAAGAAATCATATCTCCTTTATTATGATGAGTAATGAAATGATTGTTATATCAAAATGGAGCTTATTCTCTCCTCTATAAAGTTATGTGATAAATAATGTGTTGAATTAGAAAATTTTTGAGTAAACAAATCTTAAAGCGATGTGAGTTCTTCATTCTGACTTTTTCTGCCACCTTATTGGATTACATCTTGGTTGTCTTTGGCATACGATACGTTCTTTTTGCTTTCGTTAAAATGTTAATTAAATTTAGACTCTAAATAGTGCTTTGAATTTCTTGGCATTATACTTGATTATTTTGACTTTCACCTTTGGCTTAATCAATAACTTCAACCACAAGACCTGTCAAATGATATTAAGTTCTAAGAGAAGCACAATAAATACTCTTAAAATAGTAAAAGTGATTTTAGTTTATTAGTGCCATATAAAAATACGAGAAAATTGAATATAGACGAGTCCACTTAATTTTTTATGTGTTCTTGAAAGGTTGATTAACAGAAAATGAAGTTGGAATGAAGGGAATTGTAATTAAAATCGGGTTAACGGGTTTCGATAAGGTCTGTTTTCCTAAAACGTCTCGCTTTATGACAGAAGGGGGTATTTTACGACTATAGCCGCCAGTAAATAAGCCCTCCTGTGAAACGTAGGCAAAGTTCCATTTAGGGGCGCGGCTCGAAATTGAATTACGCGCCACCTATCGAGGCAATAACTAACGAACCTCCATTGATGCAGAGTGCGTTTTTGATTTTTTTTGCATTTTTTTTTGAATTGTTCGATACAGGTGGTGTGACGCGAGACTCTCCTTGATATTTAAGGAATGCAGGCGTACTTTTCAAGGATCTCTTCATACACCATAAGCCGATTACAATTCTTTCTTATGTCTCCGCTTGTTTGCGTTCTTAAATCTTCTCTACGTCGAAGAAAAATTTCGCACATGCATAAATAAAAGGATACCTGTCTTTCAAATGATTTAAAGAACATCCCTTTTGATGTATGTTGTAACTAACGTTGTTTTCGTCGGTGGTTTTTATAATCGTGTTAAGTCGTTTTGGCTAGTCTCCTGGACTTTCTAACGCTGGAATTTCAATCTTACGGAAAACGGAGCCAGAATTCCGAGAACAAATGCCCTTTCCAACCGTAAAGTACGCCCTCTTTATATGTCCGACATAATTCGAACTTTATACGCAGCGCTGAAAATTTTATTCGCTTCCGGTGAACGATTCAGCCCCCGAACCGTAACTTCCCAAGTTTTACAATCTATGACATAAGTACGGTTGCAATTCACAGGGCGTAGAAGTTCCAGAACACTTGAGAAAATTTAAAGATTTCAATATGTAATATAAATCTTAAATTTTTATTTTTCTTCATATTCATATAGATGTTTTAAATCTTAACACACTTTAAGTTGCGTTATATTGGCTCACATTGCGGGGGAAATTTTGTAATAACCCGATTGTGATCGACATTTCTTATGGGGATCAGGTTCGGCTTAGGTTTGAATACGCAGAGTTTAACTTGGCATATTTGGTTTGTTAGAGGAATAATAATTTGCGCCGGGGTTAACCCCAATAAATAACCCATCGCGTTCGATTAACCAACGCAATTTTCGTGACAAATTCCGCCTCCACTTCTTGTTCCATATTCATGAACTCCTGCGGTGATAAATCATCGACCTAATTTGCGGTGTATCTACGGCCAGTTCTGCGTGATGCATTGTCGACTCGAGGACGCTAAGGACGCTAATTTGTCATCGAAGCCATACGTTCTATTACTTGACAAAGCACGATTAATTCCGGTCCGGTCCTGTTTTCGTCGCGAAGAAAATACTTTTGCTTTCATTCAACGAACGCCGTCGCCGACATTGACCTGAATATTACCGAGAAAATAACTTTCCTGTGTTATTAACAACACGGTGAATGAAAAATAATAACTTGAATATTTAGACAAATACTTTATTTGGGTAATAAATAAGATATTAACAAAATTTATCACGTTAGTGGTAATAAGTAACTGGGGCTACTTTTGCAACTTTAGCTACAACTGGGGCTGCAACTTTTGCAACAACGCCTAAAGGTTCTTTGCGTACAACGGCGTTGAATCCATGGATGGGATCAGCGGTGTAATCGACGGTTCTTCTTGTGCCATCGGGATCGGTTAAAGAATAAGATCCTTGGACGATATCTCCATTACGAGTTTCACTTTGGCTTTTTGAATCTCCTGTAAGTCCATCTTGGACATCGTATCCAAATGAGTATTGTGGGTTGGGATCGTATTCTTCATTTACGATTGTTTTGGCAACTGGAGTAATTGCTTTTGTGGCGTAGGTAATTGGAGCTGGGGCGGCGTAACTATGAATAGCTGGGGCAGCATAGCTATGAATAGCTGGAGCAGCATAGCTATGAATAGCTGGGGCAGCATAGCTATGAACAGGAGCTGCATAAGCTAATGATGGGGCAGCGTAAGAACTGATAACTCCTGCTTTGGCATAAGCCAAAATAGCGGCGAAAATGAAAAGCTACGAAAAATTAAAAACGTTATCAATAAATCTTTAAAAAATTCGAATAAAAACTTACTTTCATTGTTATTCTTGGTGTTTTTGAATCAAAATCCGAACGAATTGTGATTTGAAATTTTGTCAATGTTTCTTTTATACCTCGAAATATGTTGTAATGAAATCAATCTGGATCTACCGGCTCCACCACACCTTTCGTTAAACTTTTTTTTCATTGAATTTTAAGAGCGGCCTTGAGAAGGTTACGCTGATCGTCACTCAATTCTTATAATTAAGAAATTGAGAACGCAAAGAAATGTGACCCACATTTTATCAATTCGAATTATTCAACCAGTAACTACATAGAAAGTCGATCGACGTAACATATTACTCGAAATCAATTGCTCACAATAATAATCAACAAAAAATATTTTTAATTGAATTCAACAAAACAAGCTTTATTTGCAAAAAACAATAAATATACAAATGCAATTACATATTTCAAAATCATTATTGGATTTATACATGATTTGGAAATTGGATTCAAAAAATAGGGTAAAAATGCAATATTGATATTGTTTGTTTTTTGTGCGACTTTTAGGTGGATTCAACGTTTAGAGTTTGTTCCAACATTTTTTAATATATTAATTAAAAAGAAATAAAATCTGGGTCATTTCTTCGCACCACTCAATTTCAAAAACTTACTTATTAACGAATGGTGTAACCTTTACGAGGACGTTCTTAAAATTCCGTGAAAAAGTCAACATGTGGGGCGTGGTGGGCAACTAAATTCAGATTACTACGTTCTTACAACATTGTTCTGGTATAAAAAGTCCGCCCGCCGAATTCGAAATCAGAAGTCGATTTGGTTTCGATATAACAACACTTACAAAAAATAACATAGCACAATGAAAGTAAGTTATTATCAAGTTTAAATTTTGAATCTTACTTATAACAACATTTTTTTTATAGCTTTTCGTTTTTGCTGCCATCTTAGCTTATGCTAGAGCAGGAGTTATTAGCTCCTACGCAGCCGCCCCCGTAGCTTACCCAGCTGTACATAGTTATGCCGCACCAGCAGTTCATAGCTATGTTGCCCCAGCTGTTCATAGCTACGCTGCTCCAACAATCGCTAAAGTAGCTACATATGCTGCCCCAGCTCCAATTACCTACGCCGCAAAATCATTCGCTCCCGTTGCTTACACCGCCCCAGTTGTTAAAACCGTAGCCCCAGCTGTAGCTGTTGCAAAAACCGTCGTCCAAGAAGAATACGACCCCAACCCTCAATACTCCTTTGGATATGACGTCCAGGATGGTCTCACCGGAGATTCAAAAAGCCAAACCGAAACTCGTAATGGAGATATCGTCCAAGGATCTTATTCCTTAACCGATCCCGATGGCACAAGAAGAACTGTCGATTACACCGCTGATCCCATCCATGGATTCAACGCCGTTGTACGCAAAGAACCCTTAGCCGTTGTTGCTAAAGTTGCAGCTCCAGTTGTTGCTAAAGTAGCCACCCCCTTAGCTTACACCGCCCCAATCGCAAAAGTAGCTGCCCCAGTAACTTATTATCACTAAGAATTCTGTGAATTCATTTTGAATGTATATATTTATGAATTGAAATAAATTGAGTAATATAAAAATTTTTTTATCGAAAATGTTTGATTATTGTATTTTTAATTACTGTGAAAATGCGGTATCACTTCCTTTTTATCTCAACCAAGATTATTATTTTATAATCGGTTTATTGGTTTATAAAGGGTTTTCCAATAAGAGGTGTTATTTTGAATAGCCCGTTATTTCGGTAAATGTCACTTTTGAAGCTGTCATTTTTTGACATTTGACAAGTAGAAAGTACGCCATTAATAAAAATGGAACGATACACACTTCAACAACGCATTGAAATTATTAAAATTCACTATAAAAATGGTGAAATTTTGGCAGAGACGGTTCGTAAAACTCGAACATTTTTGGGTCGTCGTGAAGCACCTTGTCGGACCGCAATACAGAAATTGATGGAAAAATTCGAGCTGTTGGGACAAGTTAGTGATGTGAAGAATAAAACCCGTGCACGTCGCTCAAGAACAGCCGAGAATATTGCTGCTGTAGCCGAAAGTGTTGAAGAAAACCCAGGTTTGTCCATTCCTCGTCGTTCTTTGGAATTAGGCATTCCACAAACGTCATTACACCGTATTTTGCATAAAGATTTGGGTCAGTTAACACAAGAACTCAAGCCGTCCGATCATCAACAACGTCGTGTCTTTGCTGATTGGGTCGTTGAAATGCATGAAAATGATCCGGAATTTTTGATCCGGAAGAGAAAGTGTACGCCAACAGCCCAGCGTCGATTCAAGACCTCAAAGATGGAATTCGTGACTAAAATGTGTACTAAAAAATGGCATTTTTCTTTGAATATCAAAATAACACCTCTTATTGGAAAACCCTGTACTTACATCCTTGTAGGAGTCCTATTATTAGCTTAGTTTACATTCAGCAACCCAATTAGTTGCTATCAAATTTCGTATCTTGTCTTTTTCAATCCATATTAATGTCACCTAAAAGAGAATGTAGATTTTTAATAACATTGGCAATATAAATAATATTGTTTCCAGCAATCTCATTTACCCACAAAAAAGAATCATTTGTATTGCTCATTCATAACATCGTTTGTATTCATGCTCAATGATTAAAAAAAAACCTTTTGTATCCTTTGTCAAATAATGGGTTTTATGCCGAAACGTTATGTGTGATTTCAATGTTCAGGAGAAATAATATAAAATTTTTTTTCTTTAAAAGTGGTCTTTAATTAGATAATAAACTTGAGACTTACTAGTTTCGGCTACAAGCCATCTTCAAAGACTAGTTTTTGGACACAATAATATATTAAAATATCAAATATCAAGATTTACATCATTTCCAAAGTTACAAATTAAAATATAAAAGTTTATAGTAAATTTTACAATCACGTTAACATTTTAAAAACTTAGAACGTTCTAAGTTAAAATCTGGTAGAATGGATTTCGAATATAATTCTTGATTTCAATGTACTACATACTGATTTAAATGATGTAGCGACAATATCTTGCAATATATGTCAAAAAAGTACAATTCGTTTTATTCGTACTAATGATATTTGTTCGTGCAGCACGTTGTGTTTGACCATGAACTTGAAAATCGATTCAAATAACTGAATATGACATAATCAGACTTTATTAATAATTAGAACAGTTTTCCATTAATTCACAAAGTTCATTTCATACCATTTTGTTAACAATAAATGTTAAAAAATATACAATTTACACACCAATTCTTATAACAAAGTAATTTCATCAATCCTCGTTATCTTGCCTGACCAAAATCTCCATCAACTTTTTTTCGAGGAAATCTCGTATAAAATCCACATCATCTCTGCATTAACTTTTCACCTTTCCCAAGTATGTCCAGCATTAAATCTCTATGAATGCTACATAAAATCTGCATCAAAACTCTACATCAAGTCTTTAAATTCTGTATCAAATCTTCATTTTACCTGGCGAGTTACAACCCTCAAGCAAATCCCTTTAAATCTCTGTTATGTCTAGAAGAAGTGTCCATTAAGTTCGATTGTGCTTCTGTCCAAATTGAACACAATCAAATCTCCATCAAGATAAAAAATTACATCAATACTGCATCTCGGAGTGCATTGTGCCTCCTTTTGTTCTTATTAAATCATCAAGTCTTTGAATTCTACATCAAATACTCATTTAACTAGATAGATGCAAAAAGTCTCCTTAAACATCAATCAATTAAATCCATTTTAAATCTGGAAAATGTATGTCCATCTAGTTTATACAATCTCCATACAGTCAGTATTAACTTCACTGGGTAAAAAAGTGAGGTTAATGTAAATTTATCAATAGATGATAAAAGTGAACCTAAATTATGCTTTTATGCCTGTTAATGAACATGAAGTATCTATAATAATTAATAACATTAAAACTGCAGCGGTGGGTTCTGATGGTATCTCAATCTGGATGATTGACTTGTGTACCCCTTTTCNAATAAATGTTAAAAAATATACAATTTACACACCAATTCTTATAACAAAGTAATTTCATCAATCCTCGTTATCTTGCCTGACCAAAATCTCCATCAACTTTTTTTCGAGGAAATCTCGTATAAAATCCACATCATCTCTGCATTAACTTTTCACCTTTCCCAAATATGTCCAGCATTAAGTCTCTATGAATGCTACATAAAATCTGCATCAAAACTCTACATCAAGTCTTTATATTCTGTATCAAATCCTCATTTTGCCTGGCGAGTTGCAACCCTCAATCAAATTCACTTTAAATCTCTATTATTTCTGGAAGAAGTATCCATTAAGTTCGTTTGTGTTTCTGTCCAAATTAAACAGAATCAAATCTCCATCAAGATAAGAAATTGCATCAAATGCCTCCTTTTGTTCTTATTACATCATCAAGTCTTTAAATTCTACATCAAATACTCATCTTTCCTCTTAACTAGATTAGAGATGTGTAACACTGCGCTGCGCGGCGCAATTGAGTTAACTCAGTACAGTGTGTTACGTGCGCTGATACCCAACTTTAAAATGAGTCAATTCAATTGCGCCACCTTTGGCGTAGTAGCGTACGCTGGTGTGGCTTACTAGATAGGTGCAATACAACACTGGTAGACCTAAAGTTTAACGCACAACCGCTATGGCGCAGGCAGCATAAGACTTAGGGCTGGTATTTTCAACTATCTATAAAGTCCTCAATAGGTATACAACAGATCTGTCAGATTTATCACCCTATTATAGCCCTTCAAATGAGCAAATATAATGGCGACATTGTACAAAATGCGCCATGTACTCTTTATATTCACGTTCTGTACACCGCCACCGTAACATATTCTCATTTTGAGGAGTTTAACAGGGCTAAAAATCTTGCAGATCTCTCAAATAGCTATTAAAAATTTACAGATATGTAGGTGAAAATTCTAGCCCTTAGTCACGTATAAAACCTGCATTTGCTAGAACTTGGAACGAGATATCAAGCTAGCTGCGCCGGCGTATATGATATCGCCGATAGATATGATGCATCAGCAACTGCGTTATGGCGCAATTGAGTTGATACATTGCGCTAACTCACTTAGGTGCGCCAGTATCAGTGTGTCAGCGCAGCAAATTTTGCTGAGTTACACATGGCTAAACTAGATAGATACAAAAAGTCTCCTTAAACTCCAGTCTAAATCTCTAACATGCATGTAACAAATCTGCATTCAGTTTGTATCAATTAAATCCATTTTGAATCTGGAAAATGTATCTCCATCACGTTTATACAATCTCCATACAGTCAGTATTAACTTCACTGGGTAAAAAAGTGAGGTTAATGTAAATTTATCAATAGACGATAAAAGTGGACCTAAATGTGTAAGATGAATAAAAGAAAACAAAACTTATTTCATTTCAAAATTTTATTCCAAAAATAGGAAATAAATACATATTTACATTAAATCACACGACTCTTAATGATAATAAGTAACTGGAGCGGCTACTTTAGCAACAATTGGTGCGGCTACTTTAGCAACAACTGGGGCAGCAACTTTAGCAACGACAGCTAAAGGTTCTTTGCGTACAACAGCGTTGAATCCGTGGATGGGGTCAGCGGTGTAATCAACGGTTCTTCTGGTGCCATCTGGGTCGTTTAAGGAGTAAGATCCTTGGACGACATCTCCGTTACGAGTTTCAGTTTGGCTTTTGGAATCTCCGGTGAGACCATCTTGGACGTCGTATCCAAAGGAGTATTGTGGGTTGGGGTCGTATTCTTCATTTACGATGGTTTTGGCAACAGCTACAGCTGGGGCTACGGCTTTAACAACTGGGGCGGAGTAAGCAACGGGAGCGATTGCTTTTGCAGCGTAGGTGATTGGAGCTGGAGCGGCATATGTAGCTACTTTTGCGATGGCTGGGGCGGCGTAGGTGTGTACAGCGGGGGCTGCGTAACTATGAACAGCTGGGGCGGCATAAGTATGTACAGCTGGGGCGGCATAAGTATGAACAGCTGGTGCAGCATAAGTATGAACAGCTGGTGCAGCATAAGAATGAACAGCTGGGGCGGCGTAAGTATGAACAGCTGGGGCTGAGTATGCTACGGGGGCTGTAGCATAAGAGCTGATAACTCCTGCTTTGGCGTAAGCCAAAAATGCGGCGAGAACTAAAAGCTGTTTAAAAGAAAATGTTTTGTGTTGGATAATAATTAGAATTTTAAATGAAGACTTACTTTCATTGTTATTCTTCTTGACGTTGTTGAATCGAAATACAAACGACTTCTGATTTTTATTCGGCGGTCGAGACTTTTTTATAGTTGCTAGATGTCGTAAGAAAGTTGTAAATCTGGACAGTGTTGACCCCGCCCGAAAGAGTGGGTACTCCGCGTAATGAGTTCAAATGACTGGTTTTGTTAGTTGATGACCGTGTCCTCAAAAATTGTATCACATTTCCTTGTAATCCCTTTTCATTAATCTTTTTTAATATTAAAAAAATTAAGTGGCAAGAATCTAGAACTTTATTGATCGATTATAAATAATATACAATTCTATGCAACCCTAAATAATTCAGTACAAAATCGATTAGTCTTATTATTAAAGTAGTATTACTGGTAATAAGGATTTGGGGAAGGTTTATTAGATTGAATAGGGGGATTATTATATGTGGGATTGTTCACTTTGTGGGCATAAGCCGGAGCTGCTCCGTGCTGTCTATTTACAATAGCCTGAAATCCATTCTTAGGATCAGCGGTATATTCGACAGTTCTTTTACTTCCATCCGGTTCAATAAGCGAGTAAGCACCCCTAACGACATCCCCATCGCGAGATTCTTGTTGGTTCTTAACATCGCCCGTTTTATGATCTTGAACATCGTAGGCGAAGTTATATTTTGGATGTGGATCGAACGGTTCTTGTTCGTGATTATATTTGCCGGAAAATCCAGTGTTGTAAACAGAATTTTGTGCTTGATTATAACCTTGCTGGGTTGGAGCTTGAAGAATAGCTCCTTTAACGATTTCGTTAATCAAAATTATAAAAAATAATTGATACACCTAAATAGGGGATTAAAATATGAGATTAATTTAATCTTAATTTAAATTAATTACCTTAATAGCCATTTTTATTTTTGGTTGAGTTGCAAGAATAGTTTGCTATTCGTCTTCTATTCACCGTATACCTCCAGGCTATGAAATAAACGACTTATATACGAAGTGCCCAACCCCCGCGGCTTTCATTTTGGGCACAATTACCTAATTTTCTTTATACATTCCACGAGATATGCGGCCCGTTCTTGAGATGCAATCTCGAAAGAGAACAATGGGCCCTCCTGTCGCATTTTTCTCGCATCCACTATTGCCTCATGGTAATTACGATTCGCGATTTCAGTTTAAAACAGACTCCGATTGTATTTCATGGTATGGTTAATAACTGGGTGGACAAATTCAATCGAACTCATGCATATGGATTCGCCGAATGTCACGTTATAATTAAAATGCAAATAAAAATGTTAAAACAATTTATTTTGTAAGAATTGAAAATTATTTTTGACAACATTTTCCATAATAATCGTAACAATAACTGGGGAAGGGAGTGTCCGTTATTTGAAAAATTTTTAATTTATACTTTAAACTAAACGAATGAATAATTTTAACGCACACAAATTCAAACAGCTATCCACTCCATTGTGTTCTGTATTGGAGCTAATACTAGCATTAGAACTAACACTAGACCTACAACTAGATACATTCGGGTTCAGCCGTACGTCTCTTAAGACGGCTAAACCCGAATGTTTATAGTTCTAGATCTAGTGTTAGTTTCTACTTTTAGTTCAATAAAAATATACCACAATCTAGCACTAAATAACAAGTAAAACTAGAACTAACACTAGACCTAGAACTAGAATCATTCAGGTTTAACCGCCTTGAGAAACGTGCAGCTAAACCCAAATGTTTTTACTTTTAGGTCTAGTGTGAGTTCTAGTTTTGCATTAGCACTATCACTAGAACTAACACTAGATCTAGAACTAGAAACATTTGGGTTTAGCCGTCTTAAGGGACGTACGGCTAAAGCCGAATGTTTCTACTTCTAGCTCTAGTGGTAGTTCTACTTTTAGTTGTAGTAGAATGGCTATAATTTACTTATTAATAAAAATATCTATGTCAAGTGGTATATCATTAGAATCGTTGAGAAAAGGCCTGTGTTATAAAGTCATGGCCAACTATGGTTTCCATTAGTAAAATTACAAGTTTGTGTCATAACTCAAAAATTATTGCTTAAATAAAAAAATCAGTTAGACTGCTTTATTAAACATATAATACCCTACAAATTTTTCCTAAAATCAATAATAACGGAGCCATAGGTATCGAACGATATAACAAAAAAAAACAGGTTATTCGAGTTATCTTGTTAGCCATGCATTGTATCCAAAAAACAAAAAGCTCATTAAATTGAGTTCATGAAACTGCAATTCTTTCCATATTTAATCGTCTCTCTATCTCCGCTAGTTTTCAAGATCTCTATACTAAACTCTCTTACTGCGACGTACCTAGTTCTTCTCTGGCTGGTGCGTCTTCATAAGTTCTTCATAAGTCTTTATACATATTTATGATTTTAGTTGACTTGGTAAAGGTTTAGCCGAGTCCATACTTAGGTTGATATAGAACTAGCTTATTTTGAATCTAACAACTATGCCTCAAATTTCGATTACAATGCTGGGCTTGTTGTGAGTTTGTTTTGCTTTGGAATTGGATAGCTTTATGTTCTATCGAGCATTAAATCGAATAGATCAAGGGACTGAGGCCTCTCCATTTGTGAGAGTCGAAGGCAATACAAATTACATACTGACGTAAACAAAGAAATATCTCATCTATACAAGCCCAAACCAATAACAAACAACATAATATAAGTCTAAAATGATGAATCATGAAAACAATATGGACTTAATAGCCATAAAACTCGTCTTGGAATTAATAGCAAAATCCAACATTGATGGTAAAACTTTTAGAACATGAGTTTATAAAAGAAAATATGTTTTAGCTATGACCAGGAAAGCGATTAACTCCACATAAGTGATGGACTGTCACTTAACTCGTAAGGAGTCAACTGATGTGTCACTTAACAAGGTTTGCTAGGATAGCTAGATCTAAAATCTCAAAGAAAGAAAGATTTTTTGTCATTAAACTGAATAATTCCAAAGCAACACAAACTCACAACTAGTCCAGCATTGTAATCGAAATTTGAGGCATAGTTGTTAGATTCAAAAGAAGCTAGTTCTATATCAATCTGGCCGAACCTAAGTATGGACTCGGCTAAACCCTTAGCAAGTCAACTGAAATCATAAATATGTATAAAAAGACCATTGTGCTACAGGAAGAACTACTAGAACTTATGAAGACGCACCAGCCAGAGACGAAGGAGGTACCTCGCAGTAAGAGACGAGTACGGCATATATAAGACCTGTCTGATGAACAAGGATGGAATGTCTCGGAGGGGAGATGATCTGTGGTATACATTTATTTTTGATTTGTTTTTTCTATATATGTATTTTGATCTTGTTTTGTGTATATATAAACTTTACATAGTTTCTGTAAGTGAATCAAATGTTTAGTTTTGGCCATCTAAATGTTAGGTCTTTTCTGGCATCTTTTGATGAATTTAAAACATTATTAAGTCATGGCAATTATTGTATATTTGCGTTAAGCGAGAAGTGGCTGTCTGGTGAGGTTGGTACAACTTATTTGAAAAGATAGAGAAATTAGAGCGGGTGGGGTTGCTGTGTTTGACGTGGGCGATGAAGAGGAGCAGTTGTGGATTAAGATACAGCTGGACGGGATATGGTTGGCCGTATCGGTGCTATATAGGTCGCCTAGCTGCAATTATAACTTGTTTGTTCATGAATTAGAAAACTCCCTCTCCGTTATTGCCTGTGGTAGATAGGGTGATAATTTTTGGGGATTTGAATATTGCTATGATGCAATTAACTGATCGAAAGACTAAGGCATCGCAGGATCTTTGTGCTCTGTTGGATTGTGTCAAATAGTAGATAAATCGACACGTGTAACGCAGTCGTCTTCTACCTTGATTGGTTTAATATTGGTGTCCGACGTCGAAATGGTTGAGGAGGTTGGTGTTCTGGAGGAGGTTGGGATTTCTGATTACTTTTTAATCTGTGGTAAATTGAAGTTAAAGTCTCCACCAAGGACGCCCATAGTCAGGACCATTCGCTGTTTCGGTGATTTTCAGTATGACAGATTCATTCATGTACAAGATTCCATTCTTCTGTATTTTTGACATGCCAGATGTCGACACTAAAATCATCAGGTTATCATCAGGTTCATGCAAAAACGTAGAGATAAAGCATATCGTGATTTTAGAGCATCTAAATTACCACATAAATGGACTTTTTACAAAGTTATGAGAAAAACAGTCACGGAAGCTACTCGTACAGAACGTAGAATTTATCTTGAATTACAAATAGGAAGTGTTAACAATAAGTGGATAGCGCTAAGAAAGGCCGGACTTTTTAATGAAAAACTGATAACAATACCTGTACACCTCAGAAACTTGAATGAATTAAATAAACATTTTGCGGGGGCACCTTGGAGTATGACGTAGACCTCTATAATCATTATTTAAATAGAGCTATACGTGGTGCTGCTTTTGAGTTTAATGAGAAGAATCTGTAAGACGGATAAAGAGTAATACCACAGGTCATGATAAATTAAACATGCAAACTATTAAACTATGTTGCCCACATATTACACCATATATTAGGCATATTATAAATTGCGCAATTGGGACTAGTCCTTTTCCAGCAGCATGGAAAATATCTTTAATAAATCCCCTTCCCAAAGTTAATAATCCACAGAAAATGACGGATCTAAGACCGATTAGTATTCTTCCAGTTCTGTCCAAGGTGATTGTGGATATAGGTGATTATATTATGGATAATAACATTCTACCCGATTGACAATCTGTCTTTCGTCCTGGTTTCAGCAGCGCTACTGCATTGCTTGATATCGTGGATGATGCGGTGAGAGCGATGGACGATACTGTCCTCTGCCTTCTTGACTACTCCAAGACCTTCAATACCTTAAGTCACAAAATTCTATTGGCAAAGTTGCATTATATTGGTTTGAAGGATAAGGTGATTAACATGCTAAACAGCTTTCTAGGCGGTAGGATGCAGTGCGTTGGCTAAGACAGTCAGAAATCTGAGGCATTACCTGTGTCTAACCTAAAGGGGTCGGTACTCTCCTCACTTCTATTTTCGATCTTTTTATATATGCGATTTCTATAAATCTGCCTCTTTCTGTAAAACACACCAATATGCAGATGACACACAGCTATATGGGTCTTTTGCAGAGAGCGAGGTGGAGGAGGCTTGCGTGCGTATCAGTGCCGATCTGGACAATCTTGTGGAAATGTCTGGTCGTCATAATTTGTTACTTAACCAATCAAAAACAGACGTTATTGTTTTTGGTAAAGAAACGTAGAGAGAGGATTAAAGATAGAATCGACATAAGAATAGGAAACAAACAATTGACATGTAAAAACTCAGTGAAGAATCTTGGTATGATCATTGATGAGAACCTAACTTTCAATGAATACATCAATAAAAAGATCCGTTCTGCTTACAATCAATTAAGATTTATTTATAATGCTCGTCATTTTCTGTCTGGCACCAGCAGACGTTTGCTTTGTGAAAGCTTGGTGTTGTCAGTTTTCAAATATGGGGATGTTTTATACTCCCCTTTTCTTTCTAAGCGAATAGTAAACAAAATACAAAAAATTCAAAATGCATGCCTTCGATTTATTTTCGGGATAAGACGGCGAGAACACATCAGTCACAAATTGGGTGAAGTGAGTTGGCTAAATATGATAACTCGAAGAAAATTGCATTGTGTGACAACTTACTTCAACATTATAATGTCAGCACGACCTCCTTACCTTTATCAAAAGATACAGTTCAGAACGGCAGTTTTTAAAAAAAAATTCATACAAAATTACTCAATTAATGAATGAAATCTTTAAGTTCATGAGACTGTGCACATCCGTTGGGGTTTTCAGACGTCGATATCGGACAGTCTTGTTTCGGCTCAATGCGTTTTGCAGAATGTCAGATATTAGTACTTAATACAGGAATTATTGTTATTGTTACTGTACTGCAAATGTTTTTTTTGTAATAATGGGTTACTTTCTTTCTTGATTTTTTTCTTGTTAATATTTTTGTTGTTGTTGGTGTTTGTGGAAGAGCGACAAGGAATGTCGAACATCACCGTTTCTTCATACATTAGTTTAAAAAATGTAAAGAATGTTATACAAAATAAAATAAATGAATTATTATTATTATTAAATGAATCATAGCCAACCAAACCAAACCAAGTCAACCTGAATGCAATTCAAAGTAACTTAAATTAAAAGAGACCAAATCTAGTCTTAAAGCTAGATTTAGCTTAAACACAAAACAATATAATCGCAAAGCATATAACCTCAAAATAACCAAATAACTAGTGTTAGTTCTTGAGGTTTGACTAGAATTGTAATAAAAACGGCGAAAAATTTTATTAAATAATTTATTTACTCTCTTTAGCTCGCTCTTTTAAAACTATTGCGTTAAATCCTAATTTAGGGTGAACGATGTATCTTACAATTCTTTTACTTCCATCGGCTTCGATGAACGAATAGAATCCTCGCAGGATGTCACCTTCTTTTCTCTCCTCTTGGGATTTGAAATCCCCGGTAATTTCGTCTTGAATGTCATATCCCCATTGGTAATTTTGATGCGATGTATCATACTCTAACAATTTTGATTCAATCCCAGATACGGCAATGAAAATTAAAAAAAACTAAAAACAATGATAAATATACTTTAAATTTATTATTTTCGTCGCAGCACTTACTTTAATCAAGCTCATTTTCAATGAAGCTATTCTCGATGCTTTATCCCGACTATCTCGTCAGTTTCAAAATGATAACCTTTTATACAAGTTTTTAATGTATCGATAAACCGGTTGAATCGTTTTCAAAACAAACTGGATTGCATTTCCAACGACATTTAACGTCTTAATTGGACGAGTTTCTTTTCTAATCACAACTTTCGTCGTGATTTCTTATACTTGACATAATTCAATTTGCTTTGACCTATTTATGTCAATCAGTGTTACAATAATATAGCGGATTATTTCAATTGTTAATTAAACAATAGGATTCATTATCTAATTAAATATGATAATGGAAATATTCGTTAGTTGAGCTTCTATTCATGACTCAAATTAATATTATCGAAATATATATTGTTCTGAACCACAAATTAGCTTTGGCATTTCTATTATTTGGAAAATAAAACCAAAATATGAGTTAATTTCATTTTATTGAAATTTCCAAAACATTATTCACAAACATTAAATAAATACAAATATACAAATCATTCATCTCAATATCATTCTTAATGAATAGTGCTATAAGCATGTACAGCTGGTGCTGCATAAGCTACTTTAGCTACAGGAGCTGCATATGCAAGTGGAGCAGCGTAAGTTTTAGCCACAATTGGAGCTGCGTATGTCTTAGCGATAATTGGGGAGGAATAAGTTTTCGCAATAACTGGAGCAACTGGAACTGCTGCTTTAGCAACAACTGGAACTGCAGCTGGTTCTTTATGAACGACAGCGTTAAAACCATGTACGGGATCGGCTGTGTACTCAACAATACGTTTGCTTCCGTCAGCTTCGATTAAAGAATAAGATCCTTGGACGACGTCTCCATCACGAGATTCTTGTTGATTCTTAATATCTCCGGTGATTCCATCATGGATATCATAGCCGTATGAGTATTGAGGATGGGGGTCGTATTCTTCTTGAACGACGGTTTTAGCAACAACTGGGGCAACAGTTTTAACAATAGGTGCTGAATAAGCTACTGGTGCTGCAATTTTTGTGATTGGTGCTGAGTATGTTGAATAAGTCACAGCTGGGGTTCCTAAAATTCCAGCTTGAGATACAGCTACGAAAGCAGCCAAAAGAACGATCTAAAAAAAATTGTAATAATTAATACATTAATTAATTAAAATAAAAACTTACTTTGAAAGCCATTTTTGTTGTTTTTTAAGATGTAATTCTTAAAACGTTTAAGTTGGTTGTGATATCTCAACCGAAACAGTTCAGATTTTTATACCCACCCTCCTGGTATTCACTCTTCAATCTTCGATTTCATTTTTTTCTTCTTCACCCCGAAGACCTTGACTCGATTTTTTGGGCAAGCAGCTGTTCCTTTTTTGTGAGACGAACAAGTCGTCCGGAAAGGTCACCAAAAGTATCCAGTAACCAGATTTCGCGTAGCATTTCACCTGTTCGCTTTTAACGCTCACCTCAACTTGGTCTTCGCTCGTTTCACTCTTTTTTTTTATCAATCTTTTTTTAGACACGCAATGAAATCAAGAGTGGCTATTGAGAGGTGATTTATTTTCTCGTTTTCGGCCGTTGATATTGACCTGGTTTTTCTCGGTCTCGTAAATTGATCCATTGAGAAACGTTAATTGAAGATTATTATTTTTCTCGATTTAAATTGGAACAAGTTAAAAATACGTTTTTGTGCTATTTTAAAATATTTATTGCCGTGTTTTTGTGTATTTATGATTTTTTTTATGATATTCATTTCGATTTATGTTTTGGAATTTTATATAAATAAAGAGAAGACGTTGACCTTTGTTATTACACAAGGAGGAACATCCTTTTGAATCTCGACTTAGCTCGAGGCCATCTTTACTACTACTACTATACCAACAACTTCACTACATGACTCATCTTCATTCATTAAATTCCTTGTATACATCCTCATTTTAAAGTTATGACTCAAAAATCTTTAACCTCTCAATTTAAAATTTTTAGTAATATCTTAATATCGTTTTCCAACACATTGCTTTTTACCTTTTGTAACATCGAATAACATGGAAAGATTAGATCCCCAGGAAAGTTTAGATGAGTTGGATATACTAAAAATACTGTTTTGCTATCAATTATCATTTGCGTCAATTCTGTCAGTAATGGTGAGGCAGTGAGTGGTCTAGTATTAGTTCTAGTTTTAGTTCAATGAAAAATATACAACAATCTAACACCACTAGAACTAGTGATTGTTCTAGGTGTACTGTTAGTTCTAGTATTGCATTAGTACTGTCTCTACAAATAACACTAGATCGGGAACTAGAAACATTCGGGTTTAGCCTCACGTCTCTCAAGATATTAGAGATACTTTCTATTCGAGGATGACACATGTTTATGTATTATTAAATTTAATACTTTCGTTAAAGATAAACGCGGATCGATATTAACAATAATTTTATCATTGCCTTTCTGAATTACGAAACATTTGGTTGATTTTGTCAAAACTTTGAAAGGTCCTTCGTATCGCGGAGATAACGATGGTTTCAAACCTTCAATTTTAATGAAAACGAAATTTGATTTGTGCAAGTCTTTATGAATAAAATGTTTTTGAATAGAGTGAAAAGACGTATTCACAGGCTTTAATTCGGAAAAAGTACCTCTTAAACTGGAGAGGAAATGCTCATAGTCAATAGATGAATTAGTAGGTATGAAGAACTCTCCAGGAAGTCTTAGTGGTTGCCCGTAAAGCAGTTCTGCTAAGGAGCAACCTAGATCTTCCTTAAGTGATGTTGTTAATCCTAGTAGGATGAGGGGTAGATTGATGCCGTCTTCAATGATCGATGAAATCGTTCTAACATTCCATTTGCTTGAAGATGGAAAGATGATGTGTGTATTTGTCGTGTGCCAAGTAATGTGTTAAATTTTGAAAAGAGGTTTGATTCGAATTGCCGTCCCTGATCATGTGTTATTGTGGTAAGTATACCAAATCGGCTAAAATAGTACCAGAAGAGTGTGTTCGCTATAATTGGCTATAGAAGATGTGATATCTTTCAGCGGAAAAGCTTCTGGCCATTGAGTGAAGCGTTCGATAACTGTAAGTGCATAAGTAGGTACAACCTAGGGATGGAGTGAGTGGTCCAATCAAGTCGATATGTATATGATCAAATCTAATTTTAGGAATTTTGATATTGGCGATTTTGTATGTTTTTGGATTTTTGCTTGTTGACATTTTAAGCAGGTTTTGGTCCAAACATGAATTTGCTTTGACATGTGTTGCCAAAAGAATCTTGTTTTGTTTGCATGAATGGTTGAACGTATTCCGGGATGAGATAAGCTATGAATTTTGTCAAAAATTGCTTGTCTGAAATGTTACGGAATATAAATTCTTGGAGATGATGAAGAGGTTTCACACCACATTTGATATCAGATTGTGATGTTGTTTGATGTGCCAAACGATAAGATTTTGAAGAATTGTTGGAAAATTGCGTATTCAGTTAGTTTGACAATTCTGTGTCAGCAACTTGAGCGGTGCTAAAGGTTAGAAAATCTGGATGAGATGAATTTAGAGATTCGTTGTTTGTATTTGATATTTGAAGTAAATTGTGCAATATAACTTATATATCGGGTTTGACGGATTTTGTCTGTGAACGAAAAAATTGATGTGACAATGAGTTTGTGATCTGAATATACCATAAATTGATTTCCATGTAAGGAATGTTTGAAAAATTTGATAGCAGAGTAGATCGCTAATAGTTCTCTATCAAAAATTGAATATTTGGTTTGGCATGAAGTAAATTTTTTGGAAAAGAATGCTAATGGGTAAGATTTTCCATTGATGGTTTGTGTTAAAACAGCTCCCATACCTGTGTTAGATGCATCAGTTGACAATGATAGGGTAGCATGTGAAGAGAGATGTCCTAGAAAGATAGATTTTGAAAGAAGATCTTTGGCTGAAGAAAAAGCGTTGTCATGTTGCAGTGTCCAAGAAGTTGCTGAAATTGTTTTTTGTATTTGATAGTGAAGTGATTTTGAAAGTGTGTATAAGGGATCAAAAATATTTGAAATGTTAGATAAGAATCTAAGGTAGAAGTTTAACATTCCCAAAAATCTTTGTAACTCTTTTAGAGTCGTTGGCTTTGGAAAATGTGTTATGGCTTTAATTCTTGATTGGGGTGGTCGAATGCCATCGGCTGAAACATGATGACTAAGAAAATTCAATGATTTAACACCGAAAATGCATTTTTTGGGTTGTATGTTGATATGGTAGGAAGTTAATCTGTGAAATAATTGTTTAAAATGAAGTATGTGTTCTTCTTCATGTCGACTTGCTACAAGAATATCGTCTAAATATACAAAAATGAAGGTTAGTCCTGAAAGTACTTCATTGATGAACCTCAGGAATTTTTGCGCTGCATTTCGAAGGCCAAAAATCATTGTTATAGCTGTCTTTGGTATGTCCTCGTCATCTACAGGTATCTGATGATACGCTCTGACCAAGTCGATTTTAGAACAGATTTTGCAACCGTGCAAATGAATGTTGAAATCATGTATATGAGATAGCGGATAACCATCTGGCACAGTAACGTTGTTCAATTAGCGGTAATCCCCACATGGCTCCAGTCGTCAGAATCTTTTTTTGGTACCATGTGAAGAGGCGATGCCGTAGATGAAGAGGATGGTCGACGATGATGTACGATACAATATTTATTGAATTCTAAAAATTAATTTGATTCTACCACATTTTATATGTTGTTCTTGGATTATTTATTTATCAATCTGTTTTTTTTTTTTTTTTTTTAATTTTTTTACCAATTAGAGAATAACACTAGAAATAACACTAGACCTAGAACTAGAAACATTCGGGTTTAGTCGCACGTCTCTCAAGACGGCTAAACCCGTATGATTCTAATTCTAGATCTTGTTAGTTCTAGTGACAGTACTAATGCAACACTAGAAATAACACTAGACCTAGAACTAGAAACATTCGGGTTTAGTCGCACGTCTCTCAAGACGGCTAAACCCGTATGATTCTAATTCTAGATCTTGTTAGTTCTAGTGACAGTACTAATGCAAAACTAGAACTAACACTAGACCTAGAACTAGAAACATTTGGGTTTAACCGCACATCACTCAAAACAGCTAAACCCATATGATTCTAGTTCTAGGTCTTGTGTTAGTTCTAGTGACAGTACTACTACAAAACTAGAACTAGTAGTAGACCTAGTACTACAACCATTCGGATTGGCCGTGCGTCTTCAGACGCACTGCTAAACCCGAAACTTTCTAGTGCTAGGTTTAGTGTTATTTTAATGAAATATATACAACAATCTAACGCCACTAGAACTAGTGATAGTTTTAGGTGTACTGTTAGTTCTAGTATTGCATTAGTACTGTCTCTAGAAATAATACTAGAAACATTCGAGTTTAGCCGCACGTCTCTCAAGACGGCTAAATCCGTATGATTCTAGTTCTAGGTCTTGTGTTAGTTCTAGTGACAGTACTAGTGCAAAATTAGAACTAACACTAGACCTAGAACTAGAAACATTCACTTAATTTTATTTTTTGTCCAAATATACCTTTTTAAACCAATTGAATTAAAGTCCCTAGATTTACAAAGTACCGCGGTTCATGACGCCTGTTTTCGAGCCAAAATGGCGATTTGACAACTTGTCACTCCTTCTCACCACTTACTTACAAAAATATTGCCGTTTTGTTGCCTTTGGAGTTGCAAAAATAGCAGTAAGAAGGGCTTTCGACTTTTAAGAGTACCACGAGAAAAAAGAAAGGAGTTTTGGCGTAATGTTATCAATAGAACGACATAGCTTTAAATTTCCCGCTTGATTTTCGAGCCAAAATGGCGGCAACTTTGTAAATCTAGGGACTTTAAATTGAATGAATTAGTGGCGCCATCTATTAATAAATTCATCATTACAACCTTCACTCGTGTCAAATCATAATGTCAAATATACCTACTTTGTTGTCAACCTAAAACGTTTTTTCAAAAAGCTTAATAATGTCTCATTTATCTCGAAAAGATGGATAAAGTGGTTTATAAAGTTTTAGGTGAAAGCGATTCTCACTTGGTTAGTAAAGCTTTGCATTGTTTAGCATCGCGTTATGATCGCAGAAAAACGACCGATAAATTGTGTTCTTTCATTGATAGCAAGAAAGCGTGTTTATTCGATTTACTCGATGATTTGAGGTATAATTCGAAGAAAAGGGGCGCGATTATGACAGGAATAATGAAAGACCCGAAAAGAGGTGATGATCGGGATAGGAAGGTTAAAGAGATGCGCAAAGATAAACTGAGCAAAGAAAAAGAACGTTACTTTGATGGTAAGACAACCTGTACACATTACTTAACGTAAACATTACTTAGCTTAGTTTCCATACTTTAATCCTCTTTAGAAATAACTCTGTAGTGATTCTGCCATGTTTTGCCTAATTCAGAAATAAGTTTGCAGTACTTCTGTCATGTTACAAAGTTTTTGCAAAGACATAGTTTCCATGGCCTTCTTTGGAGATAACTTTGAAGTGTTTTTGTTGTGTCACAAGTGTTTCAGCGACATTTTTTAAGTATTTCTACAAAAAATTGAGCATAGTAAACGAAATATTAATTAGTTTAGCTTCCAAGCTTGTTCTAAAAAAAGATTATAACATGGCAGAATTAATACAATACTGTTTTTGAAAAAGGATCTGTTTGTCTTTGCTAAATTTACAACTTAACACAAAAAAATCAGTTTCTCCCATTTGTGATTCGATCAGTTTTACAATCATTTGCAGAAAAAAGATATTTCATACTACAATTCGGTCGTAATTTCTCGTTGATAGTCTTTATGATGCACCTCGTCATCGGTACACGTTTGCTACCATGATATCCAAATAACCGTTTTAGGCACGCGCCGATGAAACCAATTAAATTTTACAGTTACAAGCGAGAGCATACTGCAGGTCCTATATAAATTGAAAATCACCAAAAGTTTTGAAAAACCAAAAGTTCGTTCGGTTGACGGCGTTGAAAATACGATTTCCATCGAACTTTTATCGTTGTCTTTCGAATCGAGAAAGTTGTGTGTTCACGGGGCTAGTAGCCGCGTTATCTTAGTCTCGTATAAAGAAACTGAAACGTTCGAAGATGTTCCGAGAAGTTTCCCAATTTAATATTTTGGGATTCGGTTTTATTAGATTATTTATTATAGGCGTTAAGAATTGTTTATGAAATTCCGGATGGTTTAGGTTGTTCATCAATACACAAGGAGTATGGTCGAAAAATAAAAATCTTTATTGATTTGTCACATGATTATTTACAAAATGTTTTTTATTTTTAATTTTCCAAAAAGAATTTACCAAGCGTGAGCAACAGGTCCGGAATAAGCGGTATACGTCGATGGGCCTTGCACTATGGTCTTTGTGACTGGAGCGGTGTAAGCTGAATAGACAGATGGGGCTGGGTATACAGCTGGGGCTGAGTATACAGCTGGGGCTGAGTATACAGTAGGTGCAGCATAAGCAGCAACAGCTGGGGCAGCATAAGTTTTAGCTACAACTGGGGCGTTGTAGGCTGCATAAACAGTTGGGGTGATGGTTTTAGCAACAACTGGAGCGGCAATGGTTTTGGCAACAACTGGAGCTGGGGCAACAACGGTTGGTACAGATTTGCTGACGACGGCGTTGAATCCATTAACAGCATCGGCGGTGTAATCAACAGTACGTTTGCTTCCGTCAGCTTCGATCAAGGAATATTGTCCGGAAACAACATCTCCAGATCTGGTTTCAACTTGGCTTTTAGAATCTCCAGTGATAGAGTCATGAACGCCGTAAGAATAAGAGTATTCAGGTTGATGATCCAATTCTTGTACAACAGTTTTTGCAACAACTGGAGCTGCGTAATGAAGAGGAGCTACACTTGCAGAGGCAACAGCCACGCATGCTACAAAGACTACAAACTGAAAAAGAAAAATATTAAATTATGAAAAATTGAATGATGGATTATTATTTACCTTGCAGGCCATTTTAGCAAAAGACTTCTTCAGATGTCGGATTCTGAACAAACTATGCTTCCGAAATGATCACGGGAGGTTTATATAGTGAGTTTTAGCGTATCACAGAGACCACTCCCATTTTAAGGTCACCAGATACACACAAAAAAACCGCCTAAAACACCTAAATGTCAACGTACAAGCGTCCGGCGGGTTTTAACCACACAAGAAGTTCTTCGGCGACCTTCATGAGAACCTTGTTTCCTGAATCGGTACATAACGAGTAGGTGATTAATGTGTGCGTGTAGTATTTATTTCTTACTGTTTTGATCTTTTTCTAAACTAATTTTATAACGCATTAATTTCTTTATTAAAATAATATTTTTACAAGGTTTTAAACGTGTTCGAAAAGTTGTTACAATTATCTTTGTTCAAGTCGAGACGAAATACATTGAGAAAGAAATATGTGGAGGCCACATTAATTGACTACTTTCAGGTCCGTGTAACATTTAAAATTACGACCCATAATTATCGAATCAGATTTATTTTTTATTAATATTTAGTGTTAAGTAAACCTTTGCGTTTTAATTGTTTGCGTATATCTGACGGATTAAGACCGTCTACAATAGCATGCTGTTTATGTGGGACCCAAAATTTCTTCTTTTTTCCTTGAATCCCTACCAATTCCATGTCATTAGTATTTATTACCGGAACTTGGTAATTAGGAAGTGTGATGTTTTGTTCATTAGTATTAGCATCCGCTCCGCCGAATTTTAACGTTTTTGCTAAAACCGCAGCTAAAGCTGCATGAACTTCTGAACCACTAACCACAGCATGAAATCCATGAACTGGTTCTCCAGCGTAATCGATTACAGTTTCTTTCCCATCACCGCTTTTTAAATTATAATGTCCAATAAGATAATCTTGTTCTTGAATGTACAATTGTTGTTCGATATAAGGAGGTAGAGGTAAAATTTCGTAAGAATAATAATATTGGGGATGATAAATATATCCCTCGACTTTAATTCTTTCATTGGATGTTATTACCTCGGTAGATACAAGATTCACTTGGATCCCATAAAGTGTAGATAAAATGATCTAGATTTGTATTAGAAAAGATTTTTTTTAAGAACGTAATAAAAGCACCTTTTAAACTTACAATGGCTAGGTCCATTTTGATGTGATCGTTCCAAAGTTTTCGACCGAGACTGGTCGACATAAAAGACCGTTATCAGCAAGGACCGTTAAAAAACCCCTTTTAATATTTCTGGCCGTTTAATTTTTTAATTAAAACCGGGAAATTGCGTCGTTAAGATGCTGTACAAGTACCTTTTTATCGGCATCATAACAACGGATATTGCTGCAAATCTCTCGTTAACGCAACTTTTTAAAGCGGAAATTTTAAGGACTATCTCCGTTTCGTTTTCTTTCATAACACAATTTGTCGTCTCCAAAGCTCGATATCGAACTTGACCGATTACGCCACAAACTTGTAATGGACCTTCGTCTTTTTCTTATTCTTCCCATCGCCATATTGACCGAAGTGTTTGGTCTTATTGGTCTGAGAAGGCGTTATCTCGTAGATTCACCAGGCGATATATCAACGGAACTTTACGACCGAATGTGTGTATCTGATCTTGTGGCTTGTGCCGTAGGTGATTTATAGTTTTTGCACGTGAGAGATACCCCCTGTTTCTTAAACTAAACAGATACGCCTTCGGGTGTGGCAAACATTTCAATTCTCTTTGGATGTTTTATGGAAACTAAGTGTATGTAATTGATTGATTTAAAACGAAAAAAATACAGTGTGTATCAGGTATGAGTAGAAAAAATTTGAGGGGTTATAGGTCTCCTCTTTCCGAATAAAAAATTCTTATAACACAATGTCTCATTTTTGTCCTTCTTAAGATATGATACGATAAAATTAAGGGTTCACAAGTTTGAGTACTACTGGATAATGAATTAGAGTAAGCAGGCGTTGCTTTGCAATTTGTAATTTGTTTCTAGTTTTGTAATTTTATTGTTTTTAATACAATAAGCAAATTTATTTATTAAAAGCTAAATTTTTGTAAATTTTCACATTAAAGAGTGATAAAACAGAAGTGATAAATTTATTCGTATAAACAACCTCAAAAAAATATCTCAAAATGACTTTTATGTGTCAAATTAAAGCTATATACACAAGCAAAGCCTACTCATACGTGATACACCCTGTATAAATATATTACACAATTCATGTGAAAGCCAAAAGTTGTATACCGCGCATTTCATATAACTTGCAATATACAGGGTGATTTATAACATACGGAGCAGACTAAAAGGAACTGGTACTAGGAGCCAAATTGAAGATATTTTTCTAATAAAATTTTGACCACAACTTAATAATCACAAAGATATAGAACGTTAAAGTTGAAGTAATGGCCGAGCATTTCTTACCATATACGGTATTACACTACGCTTAAATTCAAACTGCGAATATTTCGGGGTTACTTAAACAATGCATAATTAATAAAAATAATAAAATCTTTATAACATAGCAGTTACGGCTATTTAAAAATTTGTTAAAACGCTCAAATGGTGGTGTTTGTTTATTGAGAACCGCTGATACCATGTTTTGATTGCTGCCAATCCAGTTGATTTGGTTACTTAGCAACGGACAAGTATTTTAATTATTCTTTACTGAATATCAGCGGTTCTCAAAAATGGACGTTAAATTATTTGAAAAATTAACATGCGATATCTATGTAACTATTAAGTTTTTAACAAAACATTATTAAGAAAATCTCTTCAGTTTTACCTCCAGTACCTACTCTTTTAGTCTGCTCCGTATGTTATAAATCACCCTGTATAAATGCAGCAACCATATTTACGAAACTACTATGCACTTGAACTATCCCACATAAAATGCAACGTAGCTTAATAGTACAGGCATTGGGTAGTTTTGCAAAGGAAAAGTTTTGCTTATAACTCTGACTTTCCATCTTAAGAGACGCACTGCTAAACCCTAATGATTCTAGTTCTCGGTATAGTGTTAGTTCTAGTTTTACACTTGCACTGTCACTAGAACTAACACTAGACCTAGAACTAGAAACATTTGGGTTTAGCCGTACGTCTTTTATAACTCTGACTTTCCATCTTAAGAGACGCACGGCTAAACCTGAATGTTTCTAGTTCTAGGTCTAGTGTTAGTTTTACATTAACACTATTAGTATGTAGAACTATACCTAGAACTATAATCATGTATGTTTAGCCGCACGTCTCTAACGACGCGACGGCTAAAGGCTACTTGCACTGTCACTAGAACTAACATTAGACCTAGAACTAAAAACATTTGGGTTTAGCCGTACGTCTTTTATAACTCTGACTTTCCATCTTAAGAGACGCACGGCTAAAACCGAATGATTCTAGTTCTACGTACAGTGTTAGTTCTAGTTTTACACTAGTACTGCTAGTATGTAGAACTATACCTAGAACTAGAATCATTCCCTAGGCATAGTGTTAGTTCTAGTTTTACACTTGCACTGTCATTAAGGCTAACATTAGATCTAGAACTAGAAACATTCCGGGGTTAGCCGTACGTCTCTTAAGACGGCTAAACCCGAATGATTCTAGTTCTTGGTCTAGCGCTGCATAACAATTAAACCTGGAACTAACACTAGACCTAGAACTAGAAAGTTTCAGGTTTAGCACGGCTAAACTACTTCTAGGTTCTAGTTCTAAGTCTAGGGTTAGTTCTAATTTTAGATCAATAAAAATATATACAGAGAAATACTGCATACTTCGCTATGAAGCACATATTAGCAACAGGAATCCTTAAGGAAAGAATGCAAGGAACAGTAGAACGGGAAGACCAAGAAAGACCTAGGAATGTTTAAAGATCAAAACCACCAAAGTCCAAAGTCGGATTATAGCGTTATGAGAGAGAGAACCTAACTTCGAGTAACTTATGGAGCAGAGAAAAGTGCTTGGCTGAACAACCCAACCCAGCTATGCTTCTTTTACCTGAAGATAATGAAGAGACCGTTATAGAATTTTGCAAAAAACTAAACTTGAAAGATTCTTTTTGAATGATGCTAGCCTACTCATCAGGTTTTTGCCACATTGACTCTGAATGCTAATTATCACTTTACAACATTAAATTTTTATTAGTATCCAGTCTTTCATTAACAGTATCTAGTTTTCTGCCAACAAAACTAGTTTCTTACCAGTAGCTTATAGTCTTCTGCAATCAATATCTTGTCTTCCACTAGCACTGTCTAGTCTTTTGCCAACAGATCTAATGCTCCGCCAGCAGTATACATATAGTCTGCCGCCAGCAGTATCTAATCTTTTTTCAACAGTATCTAGTTTTCTGCAAATAGTGTGTAATCTTTTATTAGTTGTTTTTAGCATTTCATTAGTAATATCTAGTCCTCTAATAGCAATACCTAATTTCCTCCAGCTTCTTCCTTTTCTATGTTTTCCGAGTGGGATCCATCGCCAGATTTTTTTTGATGTGACTACGTTCAACATTTCAAGCATTAGGTTGTAATATGTCACTCAAAATACCCTTTCTACACTCCTATTTCGACTTATTTTCCGAGAACCTAGGAGCCGTTAGCAGCGAACTTGGAGAAAGGTCCAAATATTTCCAACAAGGAATAGAAGTATGTTGGCACAATTTCAAGTCAACTACTCCAAAAAATCCTGTTTTCCACGTTAGGGAGTTAAAATAAGTTGGGTTAGAACATTTATCGAATAAGTGACATGAAGTGTTAATAGTAACTAGCATAAACTTTACAATGCAAAAAATCTTAAACAGTTACTAGAATTTAATATCTGTCAAATTTTTGATTCCAAAACATGACTTGGTTAATATACCGGAAATTTCATACAACTCGCAATATAGATTTAGCCGCACGTCTCTCAAGACAGCTAAACCCACATGATTCTAGTTCTAGGTATAGTTTTAGTTCTAGTTTTACACTTACACTGTCACTAGAACGAACATAAAAATTAGAACTAGAAACATTTGGGTTTAGCCGTCAGTCTTCAGACGCACGGCTGAACTAGTTCTAGGTTCTAGGTTTAGTGTTAGTTCTAATTTTAGTTCAATAAAAATATATGTAGAAACGATAGAAGAAGTAGAGCAGTTTATATATCTGCCAGTAAATGTGACCCAAAATGGGAAATACTGCATACTTCGCTATGAAGCATATATTAGCAACAGGAATCCTTAACGAAAAAATGCAAGGAATAGGAGAACGGGAAGACGAAGGAATACCTAGGAATGTTTAAAAAGCAAGACCACCAAGGTCCAAAGTCGTATTATAGCGTCATGAGAGAGAGAACCTAGCTTCCAGTAACTTATGGAGCAGAGAAGAGTGCTTGGCTGAACATCCCAACCCAACTACGCGTCTTTTACCTGAAGATGATGAAGAGGACGTTGTATAATTTTCCAAAAAACTAAACTTGAAACATTTGTTTTTAATGATGCTACTCACCTACTCATTTATGGGAAAGTTATTTATATTTATTTAATAACACTGATCTACTAAGTTTATGCCACACTGATTTTGAATGCTAATTATTACTTTACAACATTAAATATTAAGTTTAAAATTTTTTGGGAAACCACAAAGCAAGTAAGTAGTCTTCTGCAATCAACATTTAGTTTTTTGCCAACATATCTAGTGTTCTGCAAGTAGTATCTAGTCTTTCATTAACAGTATCTAGTTTTCTGCCAGCAAAACTAGTCTCTTGCCAGCAGCATATAGTCTTCTGCAATCAATATCTTGTCTTCCACTAGCACTAGATCCACTGAAACTAGAACTCACACTAGACCTAGAACTAGAATCATTCGGGTTTAGCCACGCGTCTCTCAAGCCGGCTAAACCCGAATGATTCTAGTTCTAGGTCTTGTGTTAGTTTTAGTGATAACTAACACTAGACCTAGAACTAAAAACATTTTGGTTTACCGTGCGTCTTCAGACGATGCATTTTATGTGGCACACAGTAAGTAGGTACGCCCTGATTTTTATTTCCATATATTTTCCATATTTTTGTATATTACATCTTATGTGAGATTCACTGTATATTCGATCATAATCCCTATGATTTTGAAAAGTTGAAATGATTTGTACATGATGCAAAAACACATAATAAGACAATAACAAATTAAATTAATTTATAATTACATAATGAATAGTCGTCATAAATACATTAATCAATTAATTATCGCATTAATTAAATATGTCATAATAAATAATTAATTAGGATTATGGAAAAGAATAAATTAATCAACTCAAAGAGTTTATTGAATTTATATTTTATATTGCCAAAAACATTTCCTTTTAGTTAAATTAACATTTCAAACTTTAATAATGCAACTTAGAATACGCTATCGCATCATGATAAGGTATTAATGTCTTGATTGGAACTCCATAAGCAAAAGGAAATTTTGCAAAAATGTGCCCATCGTAACTAACAGGTCCAACCAAAGCCTTCGTAAGAATGTTGGGTGAAACAACTTGTTTTGGGACAGCCACAACTTTTCCAACAATCGGCGTCTTCCTTACAACAGCATTAAATCCATGAATTGGATCGGCTGTGTAATCAACGGTCCTTCTTGTACCATCAGGCTCTATCAAGGAATATTGACCTAAACAAAGCAAAAAGCTTTTTTAGCACAACCCCAAAGTAAAAATAACAATTCTAACCAGTTACAACATCACCATGTCTCGTTTCTGTTTGACTTTTCGAATCTCCAGTGACAACGTCGTCAACTCCATACGAAAATGAATATTGTGGGTGAGTATCGTAGTTTGGATCAACGATTTTTGTGGTAATTGGTGCATATTCAACTTCGTGAACCGGAATGATTGATGATTTCGATGAAGTTATTTCCGCAAGAATTGCGAAAATAACAAACTAAGAAAAATTTAAATCAAAAAAACTATTTTTATAATTAATATAATTCACAAGGCACGAACCTTAAAAGAGAAACAAGTGACCATCTTTGAAGGGGTATTCAAATCTTACTGCTAGATCCCAATGCACCATCGAGTATTTATAGTCCTAGGGTAATTTTAAAAATTCTTAGCCACTCCCATCGGGTCCCTTACGGGGAGGAATAGCGACTCTAACGTGTACGCAATCAAAAAAATGTGCGGCGATACCTTTGAGCTTTTATGCTGGTTTTTTTTGTTGGTATGTCTTTTTCGTTTGGTGTCCTTAGAGGGATCGGCTCGAATAACTCACTGCCGCAACGTGTGTGGGATCACTTAAGATACGCACTGTAAAACTGTAAAAGCATCGGAGTAACGTGTCGTGATTTATGGTGTTATCCCAGATCGCGAGATCCCAAGTTAAGTAAGTCGCGGGTTTAGTTCGCTTAATCTGCATCCGCAGTAGTTTCGCAATGTGGAATTTAAACCTTCGAAGAAGGTTAAGTTACAAACCGCCAACTTTGTATACGTCTTTTTTAAGCTTATCTTACAAAATATGTAAATTAATATGTAACAGAAAATACACTTAGAGATATATTGAAATTCAAATAAACGCTTTTTGAAGTTACTTAACCTAATCGTAACTTGTCCTAGTATAGTTTGTCTTTATCTACGGACTAAAAATCTTCTTGAAATACATTGTATTCAAAGTTGGCCTCTCGACTCGTCTATTTATTATAATCAGGAACCTCGCAAAAGTTAGAATCATTTGGCTTTAGCCGCACGTTTCTAAAGATGGCTAAAGCCGAATGATTCTAGTTCTTGGACTGGTGTTAGTTCTACTTTTAGTTTAACAAAAAACACAACAATCTAGCGCTGCATAACAATTAAACTAGATCTAACACTAGACCTAGAACTAGAAAGTTTCGGGTTTAGCCGTGCGTCGTCTAGTGTTAGTTCTGGTTTTACACTAGCATTATTACTATGTAGAACTAAACACTACACCTTAACCTAGAATCATTTGGGTTTAGCCCTACGTCTCTTAAGACGGCTAAACCCAAATGTTTCTAGTTCTAGATATGGTGTTAGTTCTAGTTTTACACTACCACTGTTACTATGTAGAACTAACACTATACCTAGAATTAGAATCATTTGGGTTTAGCCGCACGTCTCTTAAGACGGCTAAACCCGAATGATTCTAGTTCTAGGTATAGTGTTAGTTCTAGTTTTACACTAGCACTGTTACTATGTATAACTAACACTATACCTAGAACTAGAATCATTCGGGTTTAGCCGTCTTTAGAGACGTGCGGCTAAACCCGAATGTTTCTAGTTCTAGGTCTAGTGTTAGTTCTAGTTTTACACTAGCACTATCACTAGAACTAACACAAGACCTAGAACTAGAATCATTCGGGTTTAGCCGTCTTGAGAGACGTGCGGCTAAACCCGAATGTTTCTAGTTCTAGGTCTAGTGTTAGTTCTAGTTTTACACTAGCACTATCACTAGAACTAACACAAGACCTAGAACTAGAATCATTCGGGTTTAGCCGTCTTGAGAGACGTGCGGCTAAACCCGAATGTTTCTAGTTCTAGGTCTAGTGTTAGTTCTAGTTTTACACTAGCACTATCACTAGAACTAACACAAGACCTAGAACTAGAATCATTCGGGTTTAGCCGTCTTGAGAGACGTGCGGCTAAACCCGAATGTTTCTAGTTCTAGGTCTAGTGTTAGTTCTAGTTTTACACTAGCACTATCACTAGAACTAACACAAGACCTAGAACTAGAATCATTCGGGTTTAGCCGTCTTGAGAGACGTGCGGCTAAACCCGAATGTTTCTAGTTCTAGGTCTAGTGTTAGTTCTAGTTTTACACTAGCACTATCACTAGAACTAACACAAGACCTAGAACTAGAATCATTCGGGTTTAGCCGTCTTGAGAGACGTGCGGCTAAACCCGAATGTTTCTAGTTCTAGGTCTAGTGTTAGTTCTAGTTTTACACTAGCACTATCACTAGAACTAACACAAGACCTAGAACTAGAATCATTCGGGTTTAGCCGTCTTGAGAGACGTGCGGCTAAACCCGAATGTTTCTAGTTCTAGGTCTAGTGTTAGTTCTAGTTTTACACTAGCACTATCACTAGAACTAACACAAGACCTAGAACTAGAATCATTCGGGTTTAGCCGTCTTGAGAGACGTGCGGCTAAACCCGAATGTTTCTAGTTCTAGGTCTAGTGTTAGTTCTAGTTTTACACTAGCACTGTTACTATGTAGAACTAACACTATACCAAGAACTAGAACCATTTGGGTTTAGCCGCACGTCTCTAAAGACGGCTAAACCCGAATGATTCTAGTTCTAGGTATAGTGTTAGTTCTACATATTAACAGTGCTAATGTAAAACTAGAACTAACACTAGACCTAGAACTAGAAATTTTCGGGTTTAGCCGTGCGTCGTCTACGTTAGTTCTGGTTTTACTGTTACTATGTATAACTAACACTATACCTAGAATTAGAATCATTTGGGTTTAGCCGCACATCTCTTAAGACGGCTAAACCCGAATGATTCTAGTTCTAGGTATAGTGTTAGTTCTAGTTTTACACTTGCACTGTCACTAGAAGTAACATTAGACTTAGAACTGGTAACGTTTTGGTTTAGCCGTATGTCTCTTATGTCAGCTAAATCCGAATGATTCTAGATCTTGGTCTAGAGTTGCATAACTATTAAAACTAGAACTAACACTAGCACTACTACTCTGTAGAACTAACACTAGTGATGGAATGGATAGTGATTTTGCGAAAAGTCGAATACCGGATATTCGGCATCCCTTTCGGCCGGATATCCGGTTATCCGGCATATCTATCCGGCCATTATGGTTATAATCTCTGGTGCATTTTTGAAGTGATACTCTATACTGCCACAAGAAAGCTGATAAGATATGTCAACTTATTTGGATCAAAGATATAAAATGAACTTTTTTGACGCTGATTTAACTAACGAAGCAACTCTAAAAAGAGGATACTTTAATTAATAATTGGTAATATTTCCACAAGGATCCTTAAAGAAATTAATTTTATAGCGAATTTTGAAAGTTATCGATGAAAATAGCAACATCGAAAATTTTATCAAAACTTCAAATATTGTTTTCTCAAAAACTAAAAGATATTTTTCAAAACGTGTTGGTTCATTGGGATGAAGACATTTTTATTAACATTTTGGGAAATTTTTATACTCATATTCCAAGAAATCGATTTTATACAAATTATTAAAATTTAATCGGCGAAAATTGCAAAATTCGAGAAAATTGTCGATTATTTCAAAAATTTATTTCACAAGAACTAAAAATGATGTTTCAAAACGGCTTGTTGTATTAAAAAGAGGATTCTTTAATTAATAATTGGTGATATTTCCACAAGGTTCCTTCAAGAAATTAATTTTATAGCGAATTTTGCAAGTTATCGATGAAAATTGCAACATCGAAAATTTTTTCAAAACTTCATATATTGTTTTCTCAAAAACTAAAAGTTATTTTTCAAAAGGGGTTGGTTCATTGGAAAGAGAACACTCTTATTAACACTTTGGGACATTTTTATACTCATATTCCAAGAAATCGATTTTATACAAATTATTAAAATTTAATCGGCTAAAATTGCAAAATTCGAAAAAATTGTCGATTATTTCAAAAATTTATTTCACAAGAACTAAAAGTCATTTTTCAAAACGGCTTTCTGCATTAAAAAGAGGATACTTTAATTAATAATTGGTGATATTTCCACAAGGTTCCTTCAAGAAATTAATTTTATAGGGAATTTTGAAAATTATCGATTAAAATTGCCACATCGATAATTTTATCAAAGCTTCAAATATTATTTTCTCAAAAACGAAAAGTTATTTTTAAAAGGGGTTGGTTCATTGCAAAGAGGACACTTTCATTAACATTTTGGGAAATTTTCATACTCATATTCCAAGAAATCGATTTTATACGAATAATTAAAATTTAATTGTCGAAAATTACAAAATTCGAAGAAATTGTCGATTATTTCAAAAATTTATTTCACAAGAACTAAAAGTGATTTTTCAAAATGCCTCTTTGCATTAAAAAGAGGATACTTTAATTAATAATTGGTGATATTTCCACAAGGTTCCTTCAAGAAATTAATTTTATAGGGAATTTTGAAAATTATCGATTAAAATTACCACATCGATAATTTTATCAAAGCTTCAAATATTATTTTCTCAAAAACTAAAAGTTATTTTTCAAAAGGGATTAGTTCATTGGAAAGAGGACACTTTCATTAACATTTTGGGAAATTTTCATACTCATATTCCAAGAAATCGATTTTATACGAATTTTTAAAACTTAATCGGCGAAAATTGCAAAATTCGAAAAAATTGTCGATTATTTCAAAAATTTATTTCTCAAGAACTAAAAGTGATTTTTCAAAACGGCTTTTTGCATTAAAAAGAGGATACTTTAATTAATAATTGGTGATATTTCCACAAGGATCCTTCAAGAAATTAATTTTATAGCGAATTTTGAAAGTTATCGATGAAAATTGCAACATCGAAAATTTTATCAAAACTTCAAATATTGTTTTCTCAAAAACTAAAAGTTATTTTTCAAAACGTGTTGGTTCATTGGAAAGAGGACACTTTCATTAACATTTTGGGAAATTTTTATACTCATATTCCAAGAAATCGATTTTATACGAATTTTTAAAACGTAATCGGCAAAAATTGCAAAATTCGAAAAAATTGTCGATTATTTCAAAAATTTATTTCTCAAGAACTAAAAGTGATTTTTCAAAACGGGTTTTTGCATTAAAAAGAGTATACTTTAATTAATAATTGGTGATATTTCCACAAGGATCCTTCAAGAAATTAATTTTATAGGGAATTTTGAAAATTATCGATTAAAATTGCAACAACGAAAATTTTATCAAAGCTTCAAATATTATTTTCTCAAAAACTAAAAGATATTTTTCAAAACGTATTGGTTCATTGGAAAGAGGACACTTTCATTAACATTTTGGGAAATTTTCATACTCATATTCCAAGAAATCAATTTTCAAGGCTATTCTGTACTTAACCAGTTACTCTCCCAAATAAAAGGAATAATAACATGTCAAGCCTTTTCTATCAAATAAAAGTTTAACACTCTAAAGAACTAAAACATAATACATAATAAATTACATAATAGCGGAGCTTAATCATCTGAATCTTATTCACATCTATGATAATGACAAAAATAATTGCTTACTGGACCTAGAAAAACGTGTTGAATTCATTTGCTCAACTGAATCAACTGGAAGATTATTATATAATTTAATGGCATTATAAAAAAAGACCTCTGAAACATTGCCGTGGTATGACGAGGAATTTCATACATGTTACAACAATGCGTAGAAAGCCCTCTCACTGTATTTCTACCACTGAACAACTCACGCAAAGGTACAGGGGCCGAGGAGGAAGTCAGCAAGCCATGAACAAAACAGACCATATGATGCCGCCAGCGATTGCCCATTTTTCTCCAGTTCAACCCTTTCCATGCATGATAGACATAGTCATATTTACGTAGACCCAATATCAATCTTGAGCAGCAGTTTTGAATTTTTACAATCTCAACTTGCATACCGACGTCAAACAAGGGCCATAAATGATATCGCAATAATTAAACACTGAGAGTACAAGCGATTCATACAATCTTCTCTTCAAATTATGATTTAAAAAATGACGACTTGAGTAGAACAATCTCAACAAAGCAAACGATTTTTGCACCAAATTTTTAATGTGTTCCTCAAATCTCAATTTGGAATCAATTACCAGACCAAGGCTCCTCGCTGCATTTACAACAGGGATCAAACTACCTGCAATGATAATATTTGAGTTTCCGGAAAGAAACTCAAGAGCTTTTTTGTTACCAAAATATAGTATGGATGACTTGTCCGGATTGATTTGCAAGTCACGATTAACCTTAGTCATAGCTTCATCAAATTCAGACAATCTAAATTTAGAATAAATCTGAGTCTCATCGGCATATGCTTGTATACTTGAGTGTAGTTTAAGATTTAAGATATCTGTTGTGTAAATTGAAAACAACAGTGGTCCCAGCATGGACCCTTGGGGAACGCCTGATTTTATTAAGATGGAAGGAAAAACATTATCATTATATTTAACGGATTGTGTTCTATTTGATAGATACGACGCTATCAAGCGCAACGAACAACCTCCAAACCCATAATATTTTAGTTTTGCCACGAGTAGCTCATGATTAATTTTATCAAATGCCTTGGAATAGTCCAAGAGCACAAGAACCCCACACATGCCAGCATCACGAGCAGAAAAAAGATCCGTTGTTACCCGGATATCCGTTCCACCACTAACTAAGACTATACCTAGAACTAGAATCATTTGGGTTTAGCCGCACGTCTTTAAAGACGGCTAAACCTGAATGATTCTAGTTCTAGGTATAGTGTTAGTTCTAGTTTTACACTTGCACTGTCACTAGAAATAACATTAAACCTACAACAAAAACATTTGGGTTTAGTCGCATGTCTCTTAAGACGGCTAAGCCCGAATGATTCTAGTTCTTGGTCTAGCGTTGCATAACTAGACCTAGAACTAGATTTTAGAGGTCAAGTTACAAACCGCCAACTTTGTATACATCTTTTTTAAGCTTATCTTACAAAATATGTAACAGAAAATACACTTACAGATATATTGAAATTCAAATAAACGCTTTTCGAAGTTGCTTAACCTAATTGTAACTTGTCCCAGTATAGTTTGTCTTTATCTACGAACCGAAAATCTTCTTGAAATACATCGAATCCAAAGTTGGCCCCTCGATGGAGACGTGAGTTTTAATAGATCCCGCGATCCCCGACTCGCCTATTTATTATAATCAGGGACCTCGCAAAAGTTTCTGATGGAGTCGGACCCAGTTTGTTCGGAAGTCAATTTCGTCTCCAACATTTTCTAGCGGGAATTCTCCTGCTTTTCGTTCGTTAGCGGCAGCTTGAAACGAGGAAGTTAAAGTTTTAGTTATGAAAACGAAACACAGTCATGATGCAAGAATAATTTATTTATTTTTATAATTATTATTCCATCCCTATCGGTAATGATAATTTTATTTTTTTGCGAAACTGACGTATTTAGTGATGCATATCTCGTTACAATAACGCTTTTAGATAATAATGGAGAGGCGTAACTTCCCACCGCCGATGAATAATAAGTTAGGGATTTCTAAGCCAATTTCGAAACTCCATAACCAAGAGTTCGGGTTGTATAGCTTACCGCTCCAGTGGAGGATGGCGATATTGTTGGGGCAGCATCATAACTAATCGTTTTTGATACTCCTGGAGTTACTGACATGAGTAAATTAAAGGTAGTACTTTAGCAATAACTGATTCAAAGTATGTAGCTTCAAAGATTTTGCGCAATCGTTTGTGTAGCTGGAAAAGATAGAAGTGAAGCAACACATGTTGTGGTAGCTTTAGCGATGGGTTTAGTAGCAGGGTAAGTTGGAATTGCGTATAAGTTGGAACTAGAGATGTGGAAGTTGGAGCTACAACTTTAGTTACAACTGGAGCTACAACTTGAGATGGATAAGATTTAAGTGGAGCTACATATGCTGAAGGTTCTTATGTGATGGTTTTGGTTGCTGCATAAATTAGTTATTAAAACACATTCATAATGCAGCAATAATTTATTTATTTTTTATAATTATTCTAAGCCTATCGGTAACAGTAATAATACGAGGAATGTTTGGCGGTCTCTCTCTCTCCTTCGACCTGAATCTACCACTTGACGTATTTAGGTGATGCGTATCCCGTATATTCCGGTACAATAACGCTTTTAGCTAATAATGGGGAGCCGTAACTTCCCACCGCTGATGAATAATAATTTGGAGCTGCATAAGCCAATTTTGGAACTCCATAACCGAGAGTTGGGGCTGCATAGCTTACCGCACCGGTGGAGTAAGCCGAAATTGCTGGGGCAGCAGCATAACTAATCGTTTTTGATACTGCTGGAGCTACTAAGGAGGAGTAAACTGGAGCTACCACTTTAGCAACAGCTGGTGCGACTACTCCGGAGTAAGCAGCGTATGCTGAAGGACCTTGCACAATCGTTTTGGCAGCTGCATACGATGGGACTGAAGCTGCGTATGCTGTGGGAGCTTGAACGATGGTTTTTGCAGCTGAGTAGGATGGAATTGAAGCTGCGTACGCTGTAGGTCCTTGTACGATGGTTTTGGTTGCTGCGTAAGTTGAAACTGGGGCTGCGTAAGTTTGAATTGGGGCTGCGTAAGTTTCAACTGGAGCTGCATAAGCTTGAACTGGAGCTGAGTAAGTTGGAGCTACAACTTTAGCTACAACTTGAGCTGGGGCAACAACTTTAGCAACTGGTGCAACAATCGGTGTTTTACTAACAACGGCATTAAATCCATTGTGAGGATCGGCGGTGTAATCAACGGTTCTCTTCGTTCCATCAGAATCTAATAAAGAATATTGCCCAACGACGACGTCTCCATGACGAGTTTCCGATTGGCTTTTAGAATCACCAGTTAAAACGTCTTTAACACCGTAGGAATAAGTATATTCGGGGTTGTGGTCGTATTCTGTGTCAACGACGGTTTTGGTGATGCCAATTGGAGCGTAACTAGCTGTGGTTAAAGCCAAAAGAGTTCCAAAAATAATTACCTGGAAGTAAAGTATACGTTAATTTGATATTGATGTTTTAAAAACCTTTTAGTACCTTAAGAGCCATTTTAGATCTATTTCTCTTCTACTAAGACACTCGTAATTGAATGACACTATGATCGAGTTAACGTCGGCCTTTTATATAGTGGTACTTTCCGGCTTGTCTAAGATTTTTTTTAAGAAGTTAATTCACCGCTCCAATAGCAAGGACGAACGCCGTGTGCGCCACCCGAGTAGAACGGACATTTTTGGAAATAAGATAACTGTATGATGTAAAAGGTAATTATTACCAATTTGATTCCATACATTAACAGTATTTTTTTTTTATATATCGACTTAGAACGTTGTTTTAGAAGGTTGATATTAATATTTATTTTCTTTTCTGGTGTTTGATTAAAATGTTGTAACGAGGTCAATGTATTTCTGATGTAACATATTTGTTATATTAATATATTTGCGATTTTTAAGAAATTAAATTTAATAAAAACAAACATTCTTTGTTCGGAATTGATCTTATCAACAAAGATCTAATAATATCGTTCCCATAGCAATTATAATCTCCGGTACAGTTCCAATGACCAACACAATAAAATCAGTTGAGTCACGATTATCGCAAGGACATTGGAGAGCTCCCACGTATTCGTTCGCCTTTTGCATATTACTTTATTAAGGTAAAACCTTTATTAAGTAATCCGCATGCGAATAGGAAACGAGTAAAATTGTCAATTCGGAATTCGCGTCGACCGACCTTAACTCCTTCACGGTCTAGTTGAAGGATTATTTCACTTTCTGAACTAATCGAAACTTTAAATTTGATTACTTAGGTATGGACACAGTCGTTGAGCTTGCTCTCGCTCAATGTCACTAAGTTCAAGAACTTAAATTGAATCACAATCACCTTTTGATAAAAAATTTCAATAAAACAAATTTTTGCTGCTTATATACATATATTTATATTACATTTTCTAGTAGGCTTGAGTTTTTATCATACAAAAAATAGTCTGATCTTAAATTTTACACGTAAGTGTAGGGTGATGTATATGCAACAGGGTTAACAACAGGTTGTGGGTAAGAAAATGGTGCAGCGATTGGTGATGTATAAGCTACGGGTGCAGCTATTTTAGGAAAACCGGGAGCTGGGTAAGCAACTGGTGCAACTTGATGTACAGCCCTTGCTAAAACAGGTGCTACTGGAGCAGGAACTCCAACTGGTGCAGCAATTCTAGCAGCAACAGGCGCAGCCACAACTGGAGCTGCAACTCTCGCTACAGCTGGTGCAACAACAGCTTTAACTTGAGGTCCTTTACTAACAACAGCATTGAAACCATTTAATGGATCAGCGGTGTAATCCACAGTTCTTCTTGTACCATCAGGATCGTCAACAACATAACGGCCTTGGACGATATCTCCATTACGACTCTCAATTTGACTTTTTGAATCTCCCGTAATTGCGTCGTTGACGTCATAAGCGAAGGTGTATTGAGGATTTGGGTCGTATTCGCTATCTGCTAACTTGGCGGCGATGGCTACATTAGCTACAGGAGCTAAAACTCCACCCCTCGCCACAGCTACAGCAGCTAAAAAGACGAAAATCTGGAAACAAAACCGAAATTCACTCAATTATCACTTTTTCACTACACTTGTAATCACTTCTTACCTTAAAGGCCATTGTTGGTTTGTTTATTGATGGTTGGTTGATGTACGACGATCAACTGATGACACCACTTCGACATCACAACGTTTTTATACCGATGGGTTTTGTAATTGGCGACACAATTCGTGCGTAAACTGAATCGTAAATAACTTAGAGAAATCGGTCGCTTAAATTTAGGGTATCGAACGGCATGAGTGGACTACAAACTTGAATGTTTAAGGACTTGGAAAAGTTTAAAACGAAACGTGATCAAAGTTAATAAAAAAGATTTTCTTAGTTCAATCCAATTCAACACATCTCGTGCATCCAAAAATACAGCAATAAATTTTAATTATTCTTTGAGTTTTAAAGAAAGCAAAACAATTAAGTCATCAAAGAACGCTCAACTAATTGATATTCACAACATGTAAGTTTTAAAAAAGCGCGTATTGCATAGAAAGTTTGTGTTGGAAAAATTAGGTTATCTACTCTTCAATGTAACTGTATTAAGAATGAATTTGTAGGTTGTCATTATACATTTTTTTTTCTTTTCTATATTATGCATAGCACAATTGTATAACACCTTGTAAATACATACTAATTAGTTACTTATTTTTAACACCAAATTAAACTAGATAATGTTTTGCAGCTTTTCCTAGTGGTCCAATCTGCTTTATCCATAATATAGACAAATATTATCATATTTATACCATTTTAAGACCAAAACAAAAATGCGCTTCATCCTCTGAAGACGACGCAGGATATCCTCGTTGCCAAGAAGCTGGAGGGCCTCGATGTTGAGATGATCGTGAATTCTCTTCTCATGTTTAGATGCGAATGATGCAGTTTCTGATGACACCGATGCTATTTTCAAGTTGCGATGTTTTTTATATACCAGGGTGTATTCACTATGCCCCTTAGTCCTTTGTTCCGGAATCTTTGAATCAGACTTGCATTTGTCTTGCAGGTACAACCCCACAGTTGGATTCCGTATGTCCATTTTGGTTTTAATACTTGCTTGTATATTAGAAACTTTTTCTTAGAGATATCATTGATTTTCTGCCAAAAAGCCAATATAGGTGTCTAAATTTGATATCAAGTTCCTCACGTTTTTTTTTGAAGTGAGCTTTCCCTTTGAGTTTATCATCCAGCGTCATATCAAGATATGTAAATAAAATTCGTTTTTGCACTTTAAATGGATATTTTATTTTTACTTTTCTACCGGTTTCGCCACATAATTATAGCATCATCAGGAGAATACGTCAACGGTTACAAAAGCATTCTATGATAGAAGTTACTGGGCATTTCTTTATGTATTTTCACCCTTAAATTACACTGAGTATCTTATAAAATTTCGATTAGAAAGGATTAAATTTTATGAAACGTTATTGTGTCATGCACCTTGGTGTAACTTCTTCAGTAACTTCTATCATAGGATGCTTTTTTAACCATTGACGTATTCTCCCGATAATGCTATAATTATGTGGCGAAACCGGTAGAGAAGTAAAAATAAAATATCCATTTAATATCATTAAATAATATACCAAAATATTTTGTGGTATCGGCGTAAGGAACTGTATTGCCATTTATGTGTACTGGGACATAGTTTATTTTCTTATAACTAAAGTTTAAGTATGTCGATTTATTTGTATTTCGCTTTATTGGCCATCGTTTGGTCTAATCTTCTATTGAATTTAAGGCCAATTGTAACTTTTTGGCTGCAACTACTTCATTTTCTGCAACAGCCAAGATCGCTGTGTCATCTGCGAATGTAGCTGTTAAAGTTTCTGGTACCTAAGGAAGGTCGAATCTGTAGAGTAAGTACAGTGCTGGGCCAAGCACACTTCCTTGAGGAACTCCGGCTAGTATTTTATGTAGTGGTGCATAAACGTTTTCGTATTTTACTCTAAAATATCGATCAGAAAGATACAACTATACGTTGATGGTAGTATTTGGTCTACTTTGTAATTTAAACCATCCAACCAGACTTTGTCGAAAGCTTGTGCAACATCCAGAAATACGGCGGATAAACTTTATTTTCTTCCTTTGCTATTTCGATAGTATTCGTTATTCTATGCACTTGGTCTATTGTTGCATGTTTATTCCGAAACCCAAATTGATGTGTTGGTATTAGGGCTTTTTCTTCTATGACAGGTTTTAGTCTTTTTAATAGTAATTTTTCAAGCAGTTTTGATAGTAAAGGTAATAATGAGATTCTGTGGGGGGTTTACCANTAGGATGCTTTTTTAACCATTGACGTATTCTCCCGATAATGCTATAATTATGTGGCGAAACCGGTAGAGAAGTAAAAATAAAATATCCATTTAATATCATTAAATAATATACCAAAATATTTTGTGGTATCGGCGTAAGGAACTGTATTGCCATTTATGTGTACTGGGACATAGTTTATTTTCTTATAACTAAAGTTTAAGTATGTCGATTTATTTGTATTTCGCTTTATTGGCCATCGTTTGGTCCAGTTTTCTATTCAATTTAAGGCCAATTGTATCTTTTTGGCTGCAACTACTTCATTTTCTGCAAAAGCCAAGATCGCTGTGTCATCTGCGAATGTAGCTGTTAAAGTTTCTGGTACCTGAGGAAGGTCGAATCTGTAGAGTAAGTACAGTGTTGGGCCAAGCACACTTCCTTGAGGAACTCCGGCTAGTATTTCTAGTGGTGCATAAGCGTTTTCGTATTTTACTCTAAAATATCGATCAGAAAGATACAACTACACGTTGATGGTAGTATTTGGTCTACTTTGTAATTTAGACCATCCAACCAGACTTTGTCGAAAGCTTGTGCAACATCCAGAAATACGGCGAAGCAAACTTTATTTTCTTCCTTTGCTATTTCGATAGTATTCGTTATTCTATGCATTTGGTCTATTGTTGCATGTTTATTCCGAAACCCAAATTGATGTGTTGGTATTAGGGCTTTTTCTTCTATGACAGGTTTTAGTCTTTTTAATAGTAATTTTTCAAGCAGTTTTGATAGTAAAGGTAATAATGAGATTCTGTGGGGGGTTTACCAGGTTTTGGTATCATTATCATTTCAGCAAATTTCCATATGCTTGGAAAATATTTCTGTAAGTTCTTTCATTCTTATACATGGTATATTACTCTGCTGATCACTTTGAATTACGCTAGGGACACTATTTAGCATAGTTGTTGGACTGTCTGATGTAAAAGTTTCTTTCAGATGTTCAGCAAACAAATTAACTTTTTCTTGATTGCTCTTAGGCCAATTTCCATTATTATTTCGAATTGGAGGTGTGTTTTTGGAACTTTAAGCTTTCTTGTTGCCTTCTACAGAGAATAATCAGTACTGGCATCGTCAGTAAGGTCTTTTATGTAATTTTGAATATTATTATCTTTGTGGCTATCTGTTAATGCTCTTAATTCGGGTGTTATTTTATTTAATTTATTTTTCCCACTAGGAATTCTATTGCCATTTCTTTCTTGCTTTCCGCTTTTCTGCAATTTTGTCTCTTCATGAATTTAGGATAAATATTAGATTTGGGTTTTGGTGTTAACATTGGTGTTGAGGCCCAGGCTGCGTTTTGTATGTCTTTTAAGAACTTTTCTACTTCATTGTCAATGTCTTCGTTTGTTTTCATAAGAGCATTAAGATGACTTTTATTGTCTAATGTTTGTTGAAATAGATTCCAATTTTCACTTAGTGAGTTTATTAGTTAGTAATAAAAAGCATTCTTTGTTACATACTTTGTTATTTAGAGTAATAATTATTGGTGGGTGATCTGAGTCCAGCCCTAACTCTTCTTCTATGTTTAAAAAGTTAAGCGATATATTTTTCGTAATAAAAAAATCAAGTAGGTAATTTGTTGTCAAGCTGTGCCTCGATCTTCTCTTTTGAGATTATGTCTCGGTGGTATGTACGTTGCTCCTACAGATATTAAGCCATTAATAGTTTGAACTTTTAGCACTGTGGTTTGGTGTTGTTCAGTACTAATTGTATTGTTCAAATAGTGGTCAACATTCCTTTTAATACTAATTGCACTTCCACCTCCAGCCACATTACTTGGGTGAATTGTGTGATAAATATTGTAATGGTTGATATTAATATACGATTCTTCCACACTGCTTTTTAAACATTTTTATTTCTTTTTTGAATCGCTCCTTGGTTTTTAAAAATCGATTTTTTATAATTTTCGTTAAGATAAGATGGAATGAAAAGTATAAAAATGTACACAGTTGTTTAAAAAAAATTGCGCTGGTGAGATAAATGAACAACAACACACAAAAATTTTGGTTATTATTTATTAACTAAGTAATAAATTAGCCGTAAATAAATAATAATACTAATACAACATAATGCTAACAAATACCAACTTTAGTATGAAGTTTAAGATAAGAAATATTTATAAGTACTAAACTTGGTGCAAAAACGCATCAATGGAATGAACAGGGTATAATCATTTGTTGTGATAACTCGCGAAGCACTCTTCATGTAAATGAACGCTAAACTTACTACACATATATTGACACACTATGTCCATAAACGACTATTTCTAGGGAATTCACCGAATAAATGCGTCTAAACTGGTTTCTGATAATATGAAAGATAATGTAATCTTTATATCTCATCAATCATCCCAATGGTGTGTTTTTGCACCATTAATGTTTCAAGACGTATTTTCAGAATTCATATTTTTATTTCGCGTTGCAAGATATATATGAGGAAAATATGCACTAAAAACTTGTAAATGTCAAAATTTTAAAGAATTTTATGTACTAAAAATAGTTTTATTTCTATTGTATATTTTGAACAGAAATGTTCAATAGAAAAGAATTGATGCAAATATGGTTTAAATAGCAAGAATTATGAAATATTTTGATATGTATAGCCTAACAACCTTGAAATCTGGTAATGTATGGCTGTAAAATAATTTTAAAAACTCTGGTGCGTTTTCACACCAGTGGGACTAAATGGGTTAAATTGTTGTCAATGAAATCTAGACGTGCATATAATGTTTTTATTGTGTCTTCTTGTTGAAGTATTTTTTCTAGTATTAGATCTAATTTACTGTCAGCCTTCTTATCGATTAATGTACTTACAGTTTTC